CTCACCTACTATGAAAAATGCCTGGTCTCGGGCTGCTTGATTGGTTTAATATGTGAGCATTATGGCAGCTCCCATACTACCATAAATCAGTGTATTGCCATCCTTAGCTAGGAGGATCTTAGAATCGGTTTATAGAGGCTTCTGGCACCCTTGTAGTTCAGGCATAGGTTCTAATGTGAGATTAACAGTTCATTATAAAAGTGTCTAGGGAGGGGCCCATTTAGCACATGATGTTCCTTCATTTTCTCACCCTCAAATTCAACAAGAATCTATAATGGAGGAAAGAGGACTATACTTGGAGTCAAGAGGCTGGCATTCAAATCCTGGTTCTGCTCATTATCACCTGTGAGTCCTCAATCTCAGCTTCTTTTTCTGTAATATGGGGGGGGGGGATTTTGGTTCACTTCTGAGATCTCTTCTCTTGCTAATGTCATGTGTTCCATTGCTCTTCCTGACTTGGGGCAGTGTAAGGAAGTAGTTGAGAATATGAACCTGGGTTCAGAGAGACTAGAGTTTAAATTCTAGCCTCTCATCCTTCTTCTAGAGAGACAGTAGTTAGGTGTATAGGCTCTAGATAGAGTCAGACTGTCTGGGTTTTAGTCCTGGCTCTATCACTTGCTAGGTATGTGACTTGGGCAAGTTATTTAACCTTCCTGGGTCTCTGTTTCTTCATCCAAAGATTGAGGACACAGATATTACCTATCTTGTGGGGTTGTTATGAGGATTGAGATAACTTATGTTAAGCACTTAGCACAGAGTTTTTCTAGAAAGTGTATTTCTCTACTGTCTTACTCTGACACTATTGCCTTCTCTTTCTTTCTATTGCCCCATCGGGAAACTTTGAAATACTAGATTGTCCCATCACAGGATTGCAAAGCATGACATGAAAGAAAGTGCCTGTAGGAAAAGGGTCAATAAAAAGTATTTGGTTTATTAGAAAATCTTACCTGACTTGTGTTTTACCCACCTCTGTCCACAGTAAAGAGGAACAGAGCAGCGTATGTATTCCCTTTTGCACAGCCTTCAACAAAAGTGCTAAGCAAGACACTCCAATTCACTTGCCAAAAAAGTACAATAACAATATCTCTGGAAAAGTGGTGCCTAATTTGGTTTTTCTTTCTCTCCTTCTTAAACCCCCCTGGCATTAACTTAAGCCATTTCTTCTTGTTCCATTTCCCATGAATATGGAAAAGTTTCTTCTGATTATAAAGGGAGGATGAGGTCAGGATTTTCTCATGAGAACCGTTTGTGTCCTTAAAGCCAGAATTGAGTTAGGCCTCATCTTCTCTTCTGCAGGCTAAACAGTCCTGGTTTCTTTTACCTCACTCTTAAAACCTATTTTCCGTTGCTTGGATCTCATTGGTCATGCTTCTTTTCTTTCTCTTCGGTTTTTCTGCTTCTTGGCAATAACCCAGACTGTGCTTAGTCTGCTAAAACAGTTTAAGGGAAGAATAACTTCAGGTGTTTCCATTCATTTATTCACATTTATTGAGTGCCTAGTGCCAGGCCTTATGCTAGGTGTAGGGGACCCAGAAATGAATCAGACGTAGTCTCTGCCCTGTCCCTAGCTCACAATCTAGGGGGAGATGTGCAATAAAATGTTGTAGGTGATTGACTTATGCACAAGTGTGGGAAGCTGGACATTGTTGAGGGCAGTTCAGTAGAAACAGTCTATCTTGCCTGGATTATAGGTCAAAACTTCTGTAGAGGAGTAGTAAGACATGATGCAGGATGGATGGTCTGCAGCAAGTTTGTGGAGGCCCTGAGTGACAGCATAGGAGCCTGGGATTCCGGGATTCCAGAAGCAGTGTACACCCATTGGAGGTGTTGGAGCAAAGGAAGTGACAGCCTCAAATCTGGCTTTTTAGACCCAGGACAGAGATCCCACAAGCCTTAGTCTTATCTGTCCACCACTGATATTTTCTGTCTTGAAAGTGATATAACAGATCGATCCCTTATTTGTATACTTGGTTGTTGTAGTTTTGTGTGTATGCTTTCTTTTTTGTTTGTTTGAGTTTTTTTGCTCTGAAACTTCTGTAGAAAAACTAGTTCCTAAGCTTTAGAGAAATTTAATTCCCTATACAGCAGGAAATTTATGAAGAATTGAGAGAATAAGGTGCCTGACCTGTATAAGACCCAGTGGCAGGCCAATCCGTGTAGATTTGGTCTGGCCATGCTCACCCTTCCCCAGCCCTAAGAAGAGTACAGGAATGAGGAGAGGATTCCAGGGCTCATCTGGGTATTTGGAAGGAGTGCTAAGGAGATGCAGGCAGTGTGAGAGTCAGAAGTTCTTGCTGAAAAGGAAAAGAGACTCAAAGGAATTTGGAATGTTGCCAGAGGACATCATGACCATCCAAGTACTTGGAACCTGCATCATGTATCTAAAAACCTCCAAATTCTATTTTTTTGCCTTTGTACTTCACTAACAGTTTATTCCCTCATGCTGCCCAGTTGTGGTTTACAGAGTACTTTCCAAGGCCACAACTGATCTGGCAAGCATATCCCAAGTTTGAATAATAGTTACTATTTACTGAGCATCTACTATATGCCAGGCATTGTGCCATGAACTAAATATATATTAGCTCATTTTTTTTTGTTTTTTGTTTTTTTAATCCTCACTTGAGGATATTTTTCCATCGCTTTTTTTCAGAGTGGAAGGGGGAGAAAGCAAGAGAGAGAGAGAAACATTGATGTGAGAGAGACACATCAATTGGTTGCCTCTCGCACACACCCCGACCTGGGCCTGGGCTGGTGCCTGCAACTGAGGTTTGTGCCCTTGACCGGAATTGAATGTGAGACCCTTCAGTCTGCAGGCTGACACTCTAACCACTGAGCCAAACCAGCTAGGGCTCTATTAGCTCATTTAATTCTCACAGCAACTCTGTGATATAGATGTTATTGTCCCCATTTTATAGATGATGAGAGTGAAACATAGCGGGATTAAGTATTATGTCCAAGGCTACTTCATTTGTATATGATAAGGCCATAATCTGAATCTGGGCTCTAATGGCTCCAACACCCATGTGCTTCCTACTTCCCAGCCCTAAAGTGGCTCCAAACAGCAGAATAACACAAAATCCATAAAGGAATTCTGAGTGTGGTTTTTGCTTTAGACCTACTAGAAGTGGAACAGGGTGTGTGTGTGTCTGTGTGTCTGTGTGCATGTGTGTATAGAGGAATGGAGTTGTAAGGAGGGGAAATAAGCTGGGTTGGCAAATTTGCCTACAGGCCATTTCTGGCTCACTTTTCATATAGACCACAAAGTAAGAATGCATTTTACATTATTAAATGGTTGGGGGGGAATATCAAAAGAAGATTAATATTTTGTGGAATGAAAATTATATGAAAATTTAAGTTTCAGTATCCAAAATTTATTGAAATATAACCACAATAATTCATTTACCTGTTGTCTATGCCTGCTTTTTCTCTACAAAGGCAAAATTGAATAGTTGCAACAGACCATCTGACAAAGCCTAAGATAGTTACTATCTGGCCCTTTACAGAACAAATTTGCCAACCCCTACAATAGGCAACAAGAAGGAAGGGACTAAGGAGTTTAGTACTGTGGCAAGACTAAAGGCAAAGAGTTGAAGTTGAAGGTTTTCTCTGGAAGTGTTGTGGCCACAAGGAAAGAGAGTATAACCTGAGCTTCTTTGGGCCCTGGAAATAGTTTTATTGGGCACAGAGATTTGTTTAGGAATAAAAAGCACAAATAGGAAGGATTATTCTATGTGCTAACATTCTCTATTGGACAATAAAGAAATATTTTGTGGATGAAGTAATTCATTCAGATATTTATTAGAGTCCTTTTGTGTGTGTGTGCCAGATACTGTGTTAGATGCTGGAAATACATTGATGAAAAAAAATATCTCCTTGTCTTTAAGGAGCTTATGGCCTCTTGGGAGAACCACATATGCATGTGTATAGCTAACTCTAAGTATTTTAATAGTGTGCTTTGGGTTTGATTAAATGCTGGATGAAATAGATTTTAAAAAGTCAGGGACTGCTTCCATAATTTGTGGGACTACTTTCAGTAATTTGTGGTGGGCCCTGAAGAAAGAATAGGTGCAGTTCTTCAAAGAGCTACATAACAGGTTGAGGGAAAGCCTTACAGTGTGATTATTTGGAGCTTATGAGATTGGGAGAGAAAGAAACACTGGAGATGACTTAAAGGTTCTGTTGCTGGGCGACTGGCAGAATGATATAATCTGATAGAGAAGAAGGGAAAGGAGGAAGGAAGCAGTGGGTGGGGTTGGGGATGAGTTCAGTTTGGGACATGTGATTTGAGGAAATGGTGAAACACATCTGGCTTCCAGTTAGAAAACCTTTTTAGAAATTTTGGCACAAGGTTCCCAGAATTCAGATTTAAACTGCATTTTCAGACCTTTTCCATTGGGAAAAGGGGAAGTACACATTCATGTTGAGAAATTCACAAATCTTCTTTGACACATCATAGCTAGAGCCACGAGATTAAAAATAGCAGTGCACAGAAAATGAAGTCATCAGATAGAAAACTAGCAATAATTATGCATTTGTCACCCCCCCTCCCCATTCATGCCACCTGCTGCTCTCAGCATCTACTTTATCTTTCTGTCTCTGTTGCCTCCTACTGTGAGACTTGAACAATAGAGAAGTGTCAGATTTTACCTTCCAAATGAGACTCCTCAGCAAACAGAGGTGTCCATACTTGTCATTCAGGTCCAGTTATGCTTTTTTGGTTCTAGAATTCCACAGTGGAAACAGAATCCGAAAACTTTTACTCAGACACTTGTTAAATTGTCAAATGTTTAATCTCAACATTTTCAAATGCTCAGATGTCTGATTTTAAAGACTGGAGAAATCTGTGATTGCCTTGTGTATATCTACTTACTGGTATAATGCATAGGTTTGGGGAATACATAGGTTGATCTTTATCTTTGGTTCTTTTAAAGAAGTCAGCGTTTTGATATCCTTTTTTTTTTCTTCTGCTTTTTGAAGATTTTTGTGCCAGATATGATGAAGCAGAGGCTGAACTGAAGCAGAGGAGAACTGAAGAATGTCTGGTACATGCAGAGACCATTGAAACACTTTCTGTGACTGGATGACAGCAACCTCCTGTCAGAAGCATTATTTTATTTGCAATTTCAAGTTTATAGAGGATTTGGTTTTCGAAAGTTGGGCAAACCTATAGGTAAGGTTGGATATACATTTCAGACTTTTAGATTGCTTTAGGTTGAAATTATATATTTCCAGAGGAAGGAATTAGTCAGAGATTTCATTATTCAGTTAGGCAGCCAGTATTGGCTGGGCTGCCTGGCATGCCTAAGATAGTTATTTAATAGTGAGGAGCACATTTCTCCCAGAATATAATGGCAGATAGGCTTATAAGAAAAACCATGCAGTAAGTAAAATATATTTATTTACTTTTAATTATAAAACAACTGTATCTTAACAAAACAAAATAAAATACAGCAAAAGTATAAAAAATAAAATTCTATACCCACCCAATTTCATTCTCCCAAAGTAACCATTGTTAAAATGACTTGAGATGTATCTTTTCAGGTTTTGTTTTTTAAGCTTATAATATATGTGACATATACTATGACATTTTGAAGTGTTCTGTATAACACTCTAACCTGAGGTTTTATGCCTGGCAAGTTATAAACAATGCCTCATTTGGAGATTGGGTCAGATGAGTTCTGGGTGAGAATGGTCTTAGCCTGTTCTGTGATGTTTTGTGCTTTGCTGCTGTGTCACCCTTCATCTGAAGCTTCTCGGTAGTACACTGTCTTCCATGGCTCCCCATCCCCAACAAGCTTTCCTTCCTGAATTCTCCCCTTCTTTGATGGTCCTACTGCTCTTGGGGTTATGTGACATTGGTTAATAAACATATATTGAGGCCCTCCTCTGTGCCTGGCTCCATAGTAGGCAATGGAGATAGAGAGATTACACATGGAAGGTAGTAGTCTTTGACTCCATCTCCAGTTGTTCAGTAGGACCAGTTCTGCTTCTTTCTCTTCTTTTCTATCCCTGCCTTAGTTATAGGCCTTCCTTGCCTTCCTCTGGGTTGTTGCAGCAGCTTCACTGACCCTTCAGTCCCTCTCTAGCCTCCAGTTTGTTCTGCACATCAAAGCCAGTTTGATGGCCCTAAAGCACAATCCAGTTGTACACAGTCTCTCCCCATTGTGAGGAAACAGTGGTTCACAAGTGTGCTCTGTGAGCCTTGGGGGCCCTAAAAACTCAGAGTATCTACAAGGTCAAAACTATTTTCATAATAGTACCAAGATATTGTCTGTTGTTACAGAGCAACAGTGGGCAAAACTGCTGGTGCCTTAGCACAAATCAAGTCAGTGGCACTGATCTGTACTAGCAATCACTGTGTTCTTCACTGCTACACACTCAAAGAGGTGTGGTGTTTTTTTTAATGCCATATACCTTTCCAAGTTAGTGCTTTTGTTTTCTTTGGATAAATACCCAGAAGTGGAATTGCTGATTCATATGGTAATTCTATTTTCCTGCTTGCTGTTTCTTAGACACACTCTTTATCCCTCCTACCATTTCTCTTGTCATTCCTTCCACCAGGAGATGCTGTGACAGCTCTGAAGGCTGCTTGTGATCCCAGAATCAGAGCAGGGGAAGAAGATGTGCCTGAATCTAGACCTTTTGCCTCTGAGAATCTTACTCTCCCAGCCCTGTTTCAGGCCTGTTGTAAATCATCACCCTGCTGGCACCTTAGCGGGCCTTAGATTTCTTTTACTATAGTTGAGTGAGACACTGCAGTCTGTGTAATGCTGCCCAGCCTACTACACATAGGACTCTTGGGCAAAACCTGTGAAATACCTTAGTCCCTGGAATCACACTTAAAGACTCCTTTGAGCTGATTTCACAGGTGGCTCCTCTCATCCATTTTGCATTAAATTTGACTAGCTTCTGTCTGAACGACCCCTTCCTTGACCTTGTCCCCTACGTAAAACCAAATCAGCCAACTAATAGGTCTGGCAGAAAAAAAATGTAACCTTGTAGCTAATATAAGAACTGCCGTGAAACAATGTGGTTGGACTGGTTTGTAGCTCTTCCTACATAATATGCCAAAACACAAAATACAAAGCTATCTTAGAGCCGGAAGAAACTTCAGATAAATTAGATTTCAGATTAATACAATAATGATAAAATAGTGATAATGTTCTTGCAGTAAGCTAGAGTGATAATGTTCTTGCAGTGCTTACCAACCTTTTGGACAACATAGCACACACAGAAAGCGATATTGTTCAGTGATATCACTTTCTATGTGTGCTATGGGGATCAATACCTCATTCACAGCACACCAGTAGGGAATCTCTGTGTTAAGGTTTCTAAGTAAAGCATTCTTGTTGGTATCTGGCTAACTGACTGGCTACCCCCTTCTGCCTTTCAGCATTAATGTATAAATATAGTGTAATAGTTTAACCTTTGTATTCTAAGCTAGACTAACAAAATTTAAATCCTAGCTCTGCCACTTACTGGCTATGCGACCATGGGAAAATTACTTAAGCTCTTTGTACCTCAGTTTCTTCATCTGTAAAATGTGAAAATAATTATACTTACCTCATAGAGTTGTGAAGATTATGTAAGTTAGTGTATGTAAAATGTGGTATCTGTAAAGTGCTTAGAACATTGCCTGGCCTATGGTAAGCACTATATAAGTGTGTGTATACTATAACTACTTACTACTTACAGTAGTAGTGTTTGCTTAAATTGCTGTTATACTGCTTCAGAGAAGTAAATGCTCTGGGCTCCGTCTCCCCAGGCTCTTCCTGATTGCCTCTTCCTCTGCCTCACATTAGTCTTGGCCCGTTCCTTAACAGTGTCCATTCCCCTTCCTTTCATCACCTCAGTTTCATTTCATTTTCTCCGTTTCCATTTGTTTGGGGGCCCTCAGCCAGCTGATGACTGAGAAAACAGGTGAACTGATCATTATACTCATCAGCTTGCTCTTACCACTATTCCTTCTTTAGAAAGCTCTTGTGACTGAGGGAAATAAGTCCTACAGAATGGAAAGAGGAGCGAATCCTAGATCCTGAGAAGAAGTCTTGAGTGGTTGGGAGAGAAGCATGAGCTGAGTTAGCCAAACTGTTAGCCAGCAAAATCTAGCTCCCTGCTACAGCTAGCCTGAACGATTTACAGTGGCTCTAACCGGCCATGCTGCCTGTCCTTCCGGCCTTAGCACATGCTCTTCCTCTGCCTCTCTCCCCAGTCCCCACCCTGGCCAGTTTCCGCTCATCCTTCAGGTGCCAGTTAGCTGTCCCTTCCTGTAGTTACCAGACTGAGTTAGATGCCTCTCTTCTCCACACACCTGGTACTCCCTGTCATAGCACTTGTCCCACAGTATTGAAATTGTTTTACATGTCAGGGGATTTAAATGCCATAAAGTCAAAGACTATGTCTTCTCTTGTAGTCTCAACTGTCTAGTACTGGACAATTAGTAGGNGACTCCTTTGAGCTGATTTCACAGGTGGCTCCTCTCATCCATTTTGCATTAAATTTGACTAGCTTCTGTCTGAACGACCCCTTCCTTGACCTTGTCCCCTACGTAAAACCAAATCAGCCAACTAATAGGTCTGGCAGAAAAAAAATGTAACCTTGTAGCTAATATAAGAACTGCCGTGAAACAATGTGGTTGGACTGGTTTGTAGCTCTTCCTACATAATATGCCAAAACACAAAATACAAAGCTATCTTAGAGCCGGAAGAAACTTCAGATAAATTAGATTTCAGATTAATACAATAATGATAAAATAGTGATAATGTTCTTGCAGTAAGCTAGAGTGATAATGTTCTTGCAGTGCTTACCAACCTTTTGGACAACATAGCACACACAGAAAGCGATATTGTTCAGTGATATCACTTTCTATGTGTGCTATGGGGATCAATACCTCATTCACAGCACACCAGTAGGGAATCTCTGTGTTAAGGTTTCTAAGTAAAGCATTCTTGTTGGTATCTGGCTAACTGACTGGCTACCCCCTTCTGCCTTTCAGCATTAATGTATAAATATAGTGTAATAGTTTAACCTTTGTATTCTAAGCTAGACTAACAAAATTTAAATCCTAGCTCTGCCACTTACTGGCTATGCGACCATGGGAAAATTACTTAAGCTCTTTGTACCTCAGTTTCTTCATCTGTAAAATGTGAAAATAATTATACTTACCTCATAGAGTTGTGAAGATTATGTAAGTTAGTGTATGTAAAATGTGGTATCTGTAAAGTGCTTAGAACATTGCCTGGCCTATGGTAAGCACTATATAAGTGTGTGTATACTATAACTACTTACTACTTACAGTAGTAGTGTTTGCTTAAATTGCTGTTATACTGCTTCAGAGAAGTAAATGCTCTGGGCTCCGTCTCCCCAGGCTCTTCCTGATTGCCTCTTCCTCTGCCTCACATTAGTCTTGGCCCGTTCCTTAACAGTGTCCATTCCCCTTCCTTTCATCACCTCAGTTTCATTTCATTTTCTCCGTTTCCATTTGTTTGGGGGCCCTCAGCCAGCTGATGACTGAGAAAACAGGTGAACTGATCATTATACTCATCAGCTTGCTCTTACCACTATTCCTTCTTTAGAAAGCTCTTGTGACTGAGGGAAATAAGTCCTACAGAATGGAAAGAGGAGCGAATCCTAGATCCTGAGAAGAAGTCTTGAGTGGTTGGGAGAGAAGCATGAGCTGAGTTAGCCAAACTGTTAGCCAGCAAAATCTAGCTCCCTGCTACAGCTAGCCTGAACGATTTACAGTGGCTCTAACCGGCCATGCTGCCTGTCCTTCCGGCCTTAGCACATGCTCTTCCTCTGCCTCTCTCCCCAGTCCCCACCCTGGCCAGTTTCCGCTCATCCTTCAGGTGCCAGTTAGCTGTCCCTTCCTGTAGTTACCAGACTGAGTTAGATGCCTCTCTTCTCCACACACCTGGTACTCCCTGTCATAGCACTTGTCCCACAGTATTGAAATTGTTTTACATGTCAGGGGATTTAAATGCCATAAAGTCAAAGACTATGTCTTCTCTTGTAGTCTCAACTGTCTAGTACTGGACAATTAGTAGGTGCTCAGTAAATACAATATGTGTGTAATGAATAAGTCAGCAGTACCTTCATTTCTATGTTCTTATTTGATCCTCACAACAGCCTTGTGATATAAGCAGCCCAGGTCTTACTGTGACCTCATTTTGTATATTAAAACACTGATACTCAGAGAAACTAAGCAACTCACCAAAGCTCATGCAGATAGCCAGGATTTAAACTGGTGTCTCTCAGGCTTGAGTGTTGAATGCATCGTTTTGTTTTTACAACATTTTTCCTTTTAAAAAAATAACATTTAAAAAGATAAAAATTAAAGTAGTGTTTGTTGTTTTTCAAGATTATAAAAATATCTTCAAGGCACCAATACTCCTGAAATGTTTTTTTCTTCACCAAATGTTGAATTTCAATACAGAGAAATCTAGATATTTTTTTAAATGTATAGTTAAATTCTAAATTCCAATGTGCATTGGAGAAACATTGTGTATTTTATTGAAAAATAAAAGATGACTGAAATTATAATAGCATAAAAAGTAATAAATTTCACTGTATACAATTTGTAGAATACTGAAAAATACAAACAAGAAAATAGAAATCACTCCAGCATGTAGAGAAAACTACTATAGATTAGAAATGGCCTGGACTTGAAAGGGCAGCATTAAGTTTGAATCCCAGGCAAACCACTAATTAGATGTTTGGCAAGGACCAGGCTTCTTGCTAGAAAGATAAAAACCTTTTGCATCACTGTGCTCTTTTTGAGAGGAAGTTTTTCAGGGAATTCATAAAACTGTGTTGTCTACAGGGCAAAGGTGCACCCAAAGTTCTTTCAGTGTGTACACTCGGTACTTAAAGGGCCTGGGTAATATGCACTATACCTAACACCTACTATGTGTATCATTTTCTATCATTTTCATTTCAGTGCATGTTTTCTGATGGCTGGTATATGTCTGACTTACAGTAAATGCAGAGGTGAACAGTCCTGGCCTTTCAGAACATTGGGAAGACCTCAAGGCCACGTAAAATCAGTGCTCTAATAGAGTTTCCAGCAAGGTGTTTGGGAGCAGAGGAGGGAGCACTAACTTCTACTTCAGTGCGGTAATCCCATCTATTTGCATAGTGCCTAACAGTCTTTGAACAAAGCTTAACTCATTCAAAGGGACAGAGACTTTTGAGATGGGTTTTAATAGCTGAGAAGAATTCTTAGGCTAAGGGAAGAAGGTGAGCCAGGCACCTGCTTGGTTGTGGAACCCTGCCCTCTGAAGTTTTCATCAAATGATTGCATGCATAATAAATTAAGACCCCACAGGCCCTGCAAGTGAACTGTTGGTGATAAAAGAGACTATGTACAGGCTCCAGAAAGGAAACTATCAACCCCTTGCTAAGATTGTGACACCTCTCGCTTCCCCTCCCCGGTGTAAACAAGGAAGTTAATCATGTTTTTTCACTTCATTGTCTTCTTATATTTTTTATTTCCTAGTTTCAAAAACAACTCTCCTTCAACAAGTTCTGTTTCCAAGAGCAGCCTTAACCATTTGTCCCTTCTGGCGTACCCTCTTCCAATGAAATCCATGCAGAGTAGACCAGGTACTCTATCTTTTTGTGTGTGAAGCCATAAAATCTAATATTGAGTGTGTGGTGGTGCTCAGAGGTATGCTTCTTCCACAAGAGGCTCCCCCAGCCCTGCTGTGGTAAAAACCAAATATAAATTGTGGCTAACAGGGTTTTCTAGCTAGAATCGTAAGAATGTTTGAGCATCCCTTGTGAATTATAATGCCGCCAGCCCTCTGGCTCCTCCTCTACATTGCCTGCCTATTGGCTGTTTTGCTTGTCCTTAGGGCTTCCATCAGAGTGTGGGCAGGGGAAGGAGAAAGAGAAGTGAATCCAAAATCTGTCTAGTCCGCACTTGGCTTGCTGTGCTGGTAAGAAAATAGATGGGGGCAAGGGTTAACACTAACTGCACACAGAGGCAGAGCAAGAGGGACAGTAGTCCCTCCTTCTCAGCCTGCTGTCCCAGTGGTCAGTGCCCCTTCCCTGAGCTCCTAAAGATGAGTGGCCCTGTGTTTCATTTCTGTAGAATTTCTCACTATGTTGAGCAGCTTTTTTCCTTTTAATATACCTTGATGAGGGTGGGTATTTGGGTGCTGATATTTAAGTTTAATTTTTGAATTCATAGTGTGTTACACAAGATATATCTTGTGCTTGAAGCTGTTGGCTAGAATAATATTTTGAGATTCTCTGAGGATTCCTTTTATCCCTGTGTTTATCTGTTCTGTAAAGTATAATTGAAAATCTGCTGTCATCAGATCCTAAAAGTAAAAGGAAGAATGCACCTAAATTGAGCTGTCAGATACTTGGCTGCCTAACCATGCTTTCTGGATTGTGGTGTTGAAGAGGCCATCGTTCTGTGTGCCTTCTTCTCATGGCTGTTGTGTACTCACTTCTGAGAACAGTGCATAGAAGACGTGCATTGGCTCTAATTAATCTTCCTGAGCAGACTTGCCATTTCTCTGATCGTGTTCAGCTGGGGTCCTCTGAGAAGAGAGTGGGCCTTTTCCCTCAATGGGCAAAGAGCCAGCTTCCATTTCAAAATCTCTCTGGGAAAAAAAAAAAAGCCAACAACCCAGAGCCTGTGTTTATTGAAGGTTGGTCTAAAAGTCTCTCACATTGTATGCCCCATCAGCACTCGAGTGCCTCTATTTTAGAAGGATGTAAAGGTTTAATCACCCTGGTGGGGATTTAGACCCAGAGACTTCAGAGAAATCTTATTATTTCTAACTGCAGGCAAAGAGTATTAAGGCTCCACTCTGGATCAGGGGCATGACATGTTCTATAAGTAATTTATCTTTACCAGGGGAAGGCCCTTACTAGAGTGTCTTAGAAACAGTACTACAGTTGGGTACTGGCTACATTATTCCTCCTTTTCTCTTTCCCCTTCTCAGTCTCCCCCTTGTTCTTTCCGTCCCTACTTTTTCCTGCCCAATCTGTCCAATGTCCAAATATCTGCCTGCCAAGTTTTCCCTTTAACAAGGGGCACCGGGTGCTTGCCAGTGAGAGATAATAATCCTTTTACAATAAATGACCCCATCCAGCAGCCTGCAGGCTTTTGGATGGACCCTACTTGTATCCGCTCAGATAAGAAGCAGAGAGGGAGGAGGATGCCGTGGCTCCACAGCACTGTCTGTGCTCTCACATCCACTGCCCCATCGCACCTTCACAGAGGCAATCTCCACTGGAGGCCTTTTGAATCCTTGTGCAAATCTGCACAGGAATGTTACTAATTGTATGATTTCATTTGCATGTACCCCTCCCAACCTCACCCTCCTTCCCAGCTTTCTGGTGCTGAAGCTGGAGGATGTCACAGGTGGTATTCTGCTCATGGATTCATTGTTGTGTTTGGGGACTATAGTTTGACTGGTGGCAGATCTAAATTCATGTGCTAATGAGCTTGGTTAAAGCAGGCTTCTGCTATCCTCTTTTAATCTAGCCTGTCTGTCTGAGTTTCTTTCCACAGTTAATGATCTGCTATAATGGTTTTGCCTTTAGTTTTGCCTCCTGGGTCAAAACAAATCAATAATCCTCACAGATATTTAAAACCCATCAGTGTAAAGCTCCTGGTTTACCACCACCACCACCACCGTTTTTTTTTCTTCTGGGTGAACGTACAGCTGGACCTGTACAGTGATATTTCCCTTACATCTCCACTTTTCTCTCAGAGATGGGCAGCAGTGAACCCCTTCCCATTGCAGAAAGTGACAAGAGGAAGAAGAAGAAGCGGAAGGCCCGGGCCACTGACTCCTTGCTCGGAAAATTTGAAGGTTGGTCTCACAACTCTCTTAGATCAGGGCCTGTGGCTCCCCAAGTATGAGTGGAGCTTCTCAAAAGCCCATGGGTCTAGATCACAGGATCTGTTTAATCTTAGAGCGAGCTCATGGTTATGTGTGTAGTAAGGATAAAAGATAGGGGTGCATGAGTTTACACAAAGGAGTGACAGAGAGCAGATGGGAAAAGCCCCTGGATGATACACAAGCCTCCTCTGAATGGTCAAGGGACAGAAAGACCAATCTGTCAGAATTGTATATGCAGTGAGATTGCCTGATACGTTTCAGCCTCCTTTAGATGTGATCTTTCCCTCAGCTATTCCTAGAGGGGCTGCTGAGAGGTAGAACAGCCCTGTAAGAGGAAAAGAGGGCCATTGCAGAACTTCAGTCTTCTATAAGCAGAGAATTTGACTCCAAGAGATTGCAGCTTCTTGTGCTGTATGAGTTTGACACCATTTTAAGAGTGAATGTTGTGTTCAGGGGTCACAGTGTTGGTCATCAAACATTTTGAACACTGTGTGAGACACCAGGCTCCGTGCTGGTCCTGCTGTCATTGGGCGTGTGATAGGATGAAATGAATCATTGGACACTTCTGCAGAGATCTGCAAGGATCAGTAGTTACTCCTGGGGGTAACATGCCCCTTCATCATATAGCTCCCCTTCATGGTCCCTCTTTCCAATATTGCAGATGCACTAATGAATTAATTGTTTTGTGGAGTAGTTCTAGTGACAAGCCCTTTATGAGTCAGGAATATTGGACCTCCAACCACCAATCTATTTTGACGTGTAAAAGGCTAATACNCCCTTTATGAGTCAGGAATATTGGACCTCCAACCACCAATCTATTTTGACATGTGTAAAAGGCTAATAGTAAAGTGTCCATTGTGAGTAAAGCATATTATTTAAAATATTTACAAACAACAGTGTGTATTCTTATAATCAGCTGCAGGACCAAACCATGATGAAACCAAGAAGGTCCTTAATGCAGAGTTTTGTCTGTCTGTCTTTAACTCAGTCAATAGATGTGTGTGTATGGGGTGGAGAGGGTAAGGGGAGAAGGGATGGACAAAAGTCCCAAGGGTTTTAGAATAGGTTCCAAATCAACAGGTCTTGCTCTTTCAATGAACATAAAGAGTATTTCCTGTTTTTCAAGGATGGCTTGTGCAATTATAGGGCTTCTGATGACTCAGGATGATAAAATCTACTTTCATGGTTAAAAAGTATTCTGCTCAGTCTATGGGTTTAAGTGCTAGGCTGCCTCAAGAGGAAGAAGCTGAGGAATGGAGGCCGAGGGAGAAGGAGGCCAATTCAGCAGAGACCATGATGGAGCTGTGGCTTCCTTTGGAAGGGCTCAAAGAGCTCGTGCTATTTGTGAGCTTGGGCAGGTAACCTAAATGTTCTTTCAACCCAAGCCTATTACTCTTTGAGAACTGCTCTGACTCAGCACCCTTAAAACCTCAAGGCATCCGTTTGCATTTATATCTGTCTGCTATTTCCTGTGGGTGACTTCTGGAAACTTCTCTAAAACCTCCAATGAATTCCTTTGTGTGTGGTATAAAATAAAACAGTGCTTTATTCCCCTTTGTCTCGCCAATGCCTAGCACAGAGCCGGGCACATAGTAGGTGCTCAGCAAATGAGTAAATGAATGCATGATGTCCATTCAAGTTACAGCCCTTCTATGAGGATCCCCCAGATTCTCTGAACAGATAGATATAACATTTTCCTTCCCTGGCTCCTTTTTACTGTGTCTTGTCTCTGTATGATAGTATTTCCCACTGCCTGGTTTATTCTGGGGTCACTTGTGTACGTGTCTGTCTTCCGCATTGGACTGTGATTCTCAGTGGCAGGGACTATATTTTATTCCTTGCTCTGTCCCTATTATGAGTCTAATATGCTGTCTGACACATAGTAGGTGCTCAGGAAGTGTGTGCCAAATTGAAACCCTTTCACTGGCCTCATTTCCAAAGTGGGGAACAGGATGCCTTCAATGTGGTCTAGTTGTTGAGAAACTGAGTCCTGAGATGGCCGGGAAAGCTAATGGTCTTCTTTGTCACTGTGCTGTGGAGTCATCGTGTGCCTGTGTTTTGTCAGACCAAGGAAGCTGAGTAACAGAAGCTCTTCTTCCCATCTTAACTTGCAAAGGGTGACTCATTTTATTTCATCCATTTCATCTCTAGATGTGTACAAGCTGACCTCTGAATTGCTTGGAGAGGGAGCCTATGCCAAAGTTCAAGGTGCTGTGAACCTGCAGAATGGCAAAGAGTATGCCGTCAAAGTGAGTATCTTATCTGGGTGCCAGGCTTTACTTTGCACATAGTCCTAAACCAAATAAATTTTATATTCCCCAATATTATGGCTCAATAGGAATTGGGGCTCCAAAACTGTACTCGCTGGATTCAAATGTTGGTTTCTCTACTTGCTATGTAACATTAGGCAAGTTACTTAACCTCTCTGTACTTCAGTTTCCTCATCTGTAAAATACATGTAATAATAGAAGCTATATACTATTGTGAGGATTAAATAAGTTAATATGTGTAAAGGGCTTAAAACAATACCTAGCTTATAGCAGCTGCTGCTTATTAATCTGACAAAGGAAGTTAGCTTCAGGGAGTAGACAAACAGATTTATAATGAGATGACCTACCTGAATCTCTGTTTTGACAATCTACTACTATTTTTTTTAACATGCTTTTCTTTTATTGAATTCAGAAAGAGGAAGGGATAGGGAAGAGAAATAGAAACATCAATGATGAGAGAGAATCATCGATTGGCTGCTTCCTGCACAACCCCCACTGGGGATCAAGCCCGCAACTCGGGCATGTGTCCTGACCAGGAATCAAACCATGATCTCCAGGTTCACGGGTCAACTCTCAACCACTGAGCCATGCCCACTGGGCCAAACTAATACTATTTGACTTTAGGAAAGTCACTGAAGCTCCATGAGCCTCAGTTCCCACATCTCTAAAATGAAGATACTAATACCTGCCCTTCCCGTCTCATGCACTGGTTATGAAGATGAAAATAAAAATGAGCTGATATTACTAGAAATATTTTACAAATTGCAAAATGCTCTACAAATGATGTACATTATCATAATAATGAGAATGGAGCACTCAGCTGTGGGGCAGGAGAGGTGGCTTCTAGCTGTGTGACCTTGGAGTGGCTCACTTCACCCCTCTTTCATTTGCTGACCTCCCATGGAAGAAGAAATGGATCTAGAGCAGTGGTTCTCAAAGTGTGGTCCCTGCACCAGGGTCTTTGTATTTTTACCAAGTTTCCAAGTGATTCTAATACCTACCAAAGTTTGAGAATGACTGATCTGGAAACAAGGTCTTATTCAATCCAAGGGGATAATTCAAACTTATTTCAGATCATCCACCTGAGCCTGAGCCATCAGGTCTAAACACTGCCTCATATGGGCAAACCCAGCCAGATTGACTCCTGGAAGAAGTGTATTTTTTTAACCAATTGGCCATAGTCCTAGCTGTGGATTTATAAAGGAAAGCACTTCTGCTAAGGCATGTTCCTTTTTGCTAGACTATTGCTTCATATGGTAACAAAAGCACTGCCTCAATTCCTTTTTGGAAACAGATCAGTATAAATTACAAATAATTTTTTTTAAATATGCCTTAAGTGTGGTAAAAACTACAAATGTCAATTGATTTTTAAAGGTCTGAATACATTTATGGATACAGACCTATTTCTTCAAAGTTGGCTCACAAGAGGAAAACCAGTTCCTTCCTCTACGTCCCCTGGCATCTTTGGGCAAAGATGGACCCTGCCTTGGCAATTCTTGGATTTCAGCAGTTCTGCCAGTGTCTCATGTCTTAGGTTCCTTGAAAACTCCCTAGAGATGGTCTGCTTCTCCCTGCATAGCTCCACAATACTCGATTAGGGCTTTCCCTACTAGCATCCAACTGATAAATACTAGAGTCTCTGGGTAGGAATGGAATTTCAAGAAAATCTAGTCCTGAATTTCCTCTATAGCTCCTCAAAATAGTTGTACCATGTTCTGCTCCTGCATCTCTAGTAGTAGGAGCCCATTACCTCCACAGAGAAAATTATGCCATTGCTGGATAGCATGCCTGCTAGAAAATTCTTCCTGACTTTGATCTGAAATGTTTGGTGAATGAACAAGCTGAATAGTTTCTGAGCCCTAGCACTGCACCTCTCTGTGCAGAAAATGGGTCGAGAGGTTTAGTAACAGACATGAACTTATTTAGAAAATTACATTGTTCATGGGTGTTTGTACTGCAACATATTGGAGAAGTTTGTAGTGTTCTACACAGCATTCTTGGAATAAAGGAACAGGATGTCATCGTCTGCTGTCCACTGACATGGGACTATAAAGCAGAGCCAGTTCTGCAGAACACTTGCCCAACAGGCTCTGCTTGCAATGGTTTGGGGCTCTGGATGGGTCCATAGACATGTTCAGAGTCAGCCAGTCCCTGTGTAAACCACCTGCTCATCTGTTGGCCCACCCATTCCTTCAGTCAGTACCTCAGAATATAGGTGGGGAGGGGGAGCAGCCCACAGTATCCTAGGAGAGACAAGGCCTCTAGGTTCTCTGAGAGAAGCTATAGAGAATATAGGCAGGTATAGAATAGTAAGGGCTTCGGAGGCAGCTCTGGGCTTAAATTCCAGCCCTGCCACCTGTCAGAACTGTGGGCAAATGTTTGACCTCTGTCTATCTTGGGATTGTGTTGTAAGGGTTAAAAGATTACCTAAATGACTTAATACAGTGCCTGCCAAAGGATAAATTCTCAGATGAACTGCAGAGGTGGCATCTGAGCTGGACCTCGGAGCTTTAGTTCCTGTCCACAGTGCCCTTCATCCCCCTTGCTCTTCCTCCAGCACTAGGAGATCCTTCACTAGAGTTTGTAAATTCTTACCCAAAAGGCAGAAAGAGATACCCTTGGAGTAAGAGATGGGTAGAGATAGCTCTTTGAGGCTGGCTGCCTCAGTCTCCCCTGGGCAGCTGGGGACAGCCCTCAGAGGCTTCTAACAGCCCACCCAGGCTGGAAAGCCCTGGGGCCAGTCTGCCACTTTGCTGACAGAGCCACAGGGCCAGTGTCACCAAGCCCTACTCCAGACTTGTGCTTGAAACTGATTTGTGCTAAATTTGGCCTTTCCTTCTGCCAGAGGGCTCCTGTTGAGGGGTGTTTTGAGGTCAGGTGGGTGTATTTGACAGATGTTATTCTTCCCACAGATCATCGAAAAACAAGCAGGGCACAGTCGGAGCAGGGTATTTCGAGAGGTGGAGACGCTCTATCAGTGTCAAGGAAATAAGTGAGTATGGTGTTGGGTTAGTTGCTGCTTCTCTGGGGGGATGCTTGGCCACAGAAAAAGAGGTTATTTCTTACCATCTCCTGACCCCAGCTCTCAGTCCTTCCCCCACAACTGCATATAACTCCTTTCATCTTTCAGTGTTTAAAAAAAGAGAGAGGAGAAATAACAGCAGCAAAGAAGTTATCTCCTATTTAGGCCAAAATACTATACATATCAGCAATTCAGGCATGTTAGAAGAGTGAGCCATCTGAATTAGTACCTGGGAAAAATATAGGGTTTTATTTCTTTCAAGTGCCTGTGGAAACTAGGTTGACTGAGTGTTACCCAGTAGAAACCTTTAGGAACCTGCTTTAATTAATAGATGAGAATTATGAGAACTATTAAGAATATTTGCTGCTGTTTTCTGTTCCTAGGATAGTCACACATGCAGCTACTACTGAGGGTCCTAAGACCGGGCCTAACCCTCTGTGCTTCACAGCTGGGCCAAGGTGCTCTCTAGCCCCATCCAAGTATGCTCACCACCAGCTCCAAATGAGTGGCTCTCCTGCTGTGGCTTTAAATCAGGGTCACCTCTAAGACTTCGCTTTCCTTTTCCTTTCTCTCCACGCAGGGTCAGCAGGGAGCCAGTGGCCCGGTATTGATGGCTTTGTCATTAAGCTTGGAGGATGGGGGCTGCTGTTGATTTAACTCCAGGCACTGCCTCTACACTCTTCTTTCAAATTAGGCCATTTTGGCCATCTTATTTGGACGCCTTCACACTAGTAAAAGCCTGGTGTCTCCCAAAGTGGTCAGCATTTTTTTATGAGGGACAGATTTTTATTTTCAGCCTGCAGCTTCTGAGTTCAGCATTAGAGACTCTACGTGGTTTATTTCGTTCTTTAAAAGAAAAAAAGCCCCCAACACCTCCGATATCCAGTCTGGTGGCTTCCCTACTGAGTTACAAGACGACCTTGTTGGCAGAGCACGGTAATGCTCAGGCAGACAGAGAGTGCTCACCGGGGAAGGCCACAAGTGCTACGGTGGCCAGGAACACGGCCGTTTCATTAAGCAGCGCTTAGCAGTTAGGGTCTAGCGGTGCCCACGTTAGGCCCCAAGTCTATTTGACAGATGTTTCCATTTTCTCCAGGCAATGTAAATACTGCCCCGTGATTTATGGGCAAGAGGGAGGGCAAGTAATTATTTGCTGCTTGCCTCCAGGACACACACCTACTATTCAGTGTTATTAACCGCAATTGCTTCCAGTCGGCTGCAGATTTTATTCAGTTTAATGTGACCAGGACTTTTTTATAACTCTACCTAGTGGGTTTTAGGGTTGGGGTTTGACAGCACAGACTTGGTGAAAACACCAGAGACTAAACATTATGGAAAGATAAGGTGACCTGAATCTTGCTAACACCATTGGCTGCTTCTCAAACATGGGTGTTTAATAAGCATTCTGATTTCAAGTTGATTTCTGCCCTGTTACAGGGCATTGTATATTTTTTTTCATTGTATATTTATAAATGGGCTTTAATCTATAATACCATTTCTCCTTTTTTCCTTTTCCTCCTATTTTTCCCTATTTAAGGAACATTTTGGAGCTGATTGAGTTCTTTGAAGATGACACAAGGTTTTACTTGGTCTTTGAGAAATTGCAAGGAGGTACTTACTGTTGAGTATGTGTTTGGACTTCTGATTAAGACCCAGGGTGGTGATCATCCATCATGAATCCCAGAGACTTCTAAAACGAGTCAAGCTAATAAAAAGGATGAAGGACTTAAAACTGCCCTTGATTTGGGAGAAGGGAGGCCGGAGGGAAGGATGATAATTAGCATTTTGCAGAGCTTAGAATGTCACCTGTGTGGGCATTCTATAAATGCCTTCTCATTATAATAGGGCTCCTATATAGATACATGTAGTCATCAATTTATCAATCCATGCTTTGACACGTTCACTATTTAACTGAATTAATTGTGGGGTGGAAGCTTTTATATACAATGTGAAGTCCAGAAAAGCTCACCAGGGGAGAGGAGGGTCCCATTGTTTAGGACACAGACCCAGGATAGAGAGGAGGCCTGAAAATGTGCCATCCTTCAGATAGAAAGATGCCATTCTTGACCATCACCACTACTGCCATCACCCCTACACACAATCACTGAGATGTATACTGAAGTTGTTTTTCCGACAAAGAGAGGGAGATAGAGAAGCCCTTGTCTTCCCCATCATTCACCCAACCATAGGACACATTTGCAAGGTGAAGTTTAGGAAGGATGTCTGGAGCTGAGTGGAGGGCTACATGGAGGGGCTTGGTAGCTAAGAGACTGCTTTAGAAACCAGCAAAGCTAAGTTTAAGTCTAGTCCCATGATTTACTAGCTGTGTGACCTTGGGCAAGTCACTTAACCTTTCCAAATAGTATTCTGTCATCTGTAAAATAAGGATAACGACAGCACCTACTTCCTTGGGATGCTGTGAAGGTTAAATGAGATTATTCATGTGAAATGCTTAGCACAGTGCCTGGTAGGCGCTAAGGGTTTAATAATCGTCAGCAGTTATTATTAAAACAATTGGCTGTGGTGGGAGCTATCTGAGAAGTATGTAGAATGTTACACTCCACCTTCCTTTTTTTTTTTCCAAATTTACTTATAGATTTAGTGTAATTTCAGGGTCTGGGAGGAGGGACATAAAAAGGGGGGTGGATTGAGGGACATCTGTAATATTGTTCACCTTCCTTTTTAACAAATTTGGAAATGAGACTCACTTTAATAAAGCAAACCTGAGATCTAGCCAGGAGCTGGTTTTCTCAGAATGTTTCCCAGCATGTTGGGATCACTTGATTGTTTAACCTGGCAAGTGAAAAATCTTCATCCCCTGTCCGTGCCCAAACCACAGGTAATAAGTAAACATGTACCATTTTTTAGGACACAAGGATGACACCTTCAGTCCAGAAATACTGGCTTAGTGAGCATAGACCACATTGGAGCCAAGTCATATGTTCATGCCTGTGCCTGCCCAGCCCTACCCAACAATACTAGGACTTTGAATGGCATGTTTTAATGCTAGATGCAGCTGGGGTTGTCTGTAACCATATCACTTAGAGTGCAACTCTACTGAGGCCAGACCCAATGGGTAAAGAGAGTGTGGTTGGCTCAGGGCAACTCATCCCCCGAGCATTGGGGCCACAGGTCCTCCTGAGGGGAAGTCTACACAAGCTCTGAGGTCAAACTTACTGGACTTAAGTCCTGATGCCACCACTTACTGATGTATGATCTTGAGCAAGTTGCTTAAACCATTCCTGTCTTTGGGTTCCCTATCTGTAAAATGGGGATAATTGTATTTTGTACATTTTGTACAGTGTGGTGAGCCTAAGATAGTCTATTTAAAAGGATATTACATAGTGCTTAGCACATAGTAACTACTCAATAAGTGTTAGCCAACAAAATTTACTTGGTCTTTGAGAAATTGTAGTTACTGTTGAGTATATGTTTGGACTTCTGATTAAGGCCCAGGATGATGATCATCCATCATGAATCCCAGGGAATTCTCAAACAAGTTGCCAATAAATAATAATAATAATAGGGAAAGTTCAGAAGGAAAGCATTTTTTTCTCTTTTTTTTCCTCTATTTGCATATCCAGTGAGGATGTGGCATTTCTGTTTGTAGCTGTGCTCTCATTTGGATCTGAGATCAGATGCAAAGGAGGAAAAGTTCCTACAGAGAGGCCCCCAACCCCAGGTGGATTCACTTGGATTTGTAGTTCTTTTTGCTTCCAGGAGCCAAATGGCATTTATATCCTATGGCCATTTATTGTTCTCACTCCCTTCTGTGCTCATCATAGACAGGTACAGAAGATCACAGTTCAGTTCTGTCCAGTACAGTTTTGTGCTGGTACCTCCTCTGTGCCAGGAACCATACTTGATGCTGAACATTCAGCAATGAATAAGCCTATGTCCCCACCCCAAACTTGTGGACACTTGGCCTCTGACAAGTTATACTTAGTAGAGCCTGAAAAGGCATTCCTCTGTGTCCCCTCTGCTCCCTAGGCTCCATCCTGGCCCACATCCAGAAGCGGAAGCACTTCAATGAGCGAGAGGCCAGCCGAGTAGTACAGGATGTGGCTGCTGCCCTTAACTTCCTGCACACCAAAGGTGAGCCAAGCCTTTGCCTTGGTGGGTGGGTTGGTTGGGCTGGTCAGCCTACGGGGACCAAGGAACAAAGGCAGGCCAGGTGGAGGGCTGGGCCAGGAGCTGGTGCAGCTGGCAGGCCCACCCGTGACTGTGAGGGGGAAAACCAGGGTTGCTCCAGACTTCTGATATGGATGGTGGGTAGATGTGGAGCTATTAAGAATGATAAGGATTACAGAAGAAAGAGCAGGGACAAGAACAATAAATTTCATGTTGAACAAGGTATATGTGGGTGTGTGGATGTGGATGATTTTCTTTCCTAATGAAGAATGCAAACCATGCATCATACAACCTCTAGTATAAATATTTGATGATATTCTTTCTAGTATTTTAAAATACATCACCTCTATTGGCATGATAGTATACATGTAGTTTTATATCTTGTTCACAATAAATGGAAAGTGCACTTTTCTATTAACATGGTAAGTTTGAGGTATCTTTTGAGCTTCACCATGGTAAAGAGCAGGATTGCTATTGTCGGAATTACACTTTGGTTTACAGTCCTTATTTAGGACTGATTATTTAAGAACTTTTGTAGTAAATTAAATGTTTTTGCAAATTGGGTGTTTTTGCATTTTCATAAATGTATTTAATTATTACATACATATTTTAAATTTGCCAAACAACAGTGTCATGGAAAAAAAATGAATTCTAGCTTTGCTTATTTACCAGTTGTAACAGTGCCTACCCCACAGAGTTATGGTGAGAATAAAGAGAGAATTACATCACCAGCAGTAGTTAACACTAGATAGCACTTGTTACGTACTGGGCACCATTCTAAGCCTTTCATCTGTACTTCCTGGCATACACAATTGTGTGCATCCTGTGGCGTATTGTATACGTATAGCAGAGTTGGAGCGCAGTGCCTGGCACGTACTATATGGTTCTTCAATAATGTTGTTTCCTTTATCCTTACCCCCCACCAGGCAGAAATCATCTTTATTCCTAATGTTAATTCCCTTAAAGCATTCTGCCTGGTGGGGGCTAGAGTGAATAACTTGTGACTTAGCTCTGCTCTCTTCACTTTTGTGGATCTAGGCCGCCTTGGTCATGAGTGCTCAGGACCACTTATAGGCATCCTGTTTGTGCACCCCACCTTGTGCCAGCAGCACAGTGCAGGCTGGTGTGGACTGGGTGGGGAGGGTTCATTTATTCTATCTCGCTTTCTCCAGTGGCTGGAGAGAGATCTGCACCCAGGCCACATCATGTTGGGGGCCTGACTTATACACGGGATGAAAATTCCTAGAAGGGGGATCTGTACTTTCCACAGCATGATGAATAGCAGTGGTTCTGTTTCTGAAAGCTGGGATGCATGTAGGTAACACCTGCCTGACAAAGATTTACAACTGCTCCCCAAGCTGCCTCCGTAGATTGCAAAACTGGGTCATGCTTTTTACAAGATCCATACCTTAGAGGGGGGTAAAGAGGGTTTTATTTTTTTATTTTTTTTACAAGAATGCACTAAAGGGAACAGAGGCTGGTGGTGTCTGAGGAGTTTTGAAGTACTTGTTAACATCTAGCTGGCCAGCTGCCCATGTGCCTAAAAGTTGGAGGGGATGAAAAACGATTTCCAGCTGAACTTAGCTGTTTTCTAAATAACTTCACACTGGAAAGATGAATTGGGCAAGAATGGGTCAGCCCGGAAACAAGTTCCATACTTTTAAATACTGGACACACTGCAGCTTAACCTCTGGGAAATGAACTGGAGCGGCTCGATGGCTGGTGTGCTCACAGAGGCAGGCCTATTATTACACATGGCCCTCAGTTCTCAGGCTGAGGGACGACTGGGCCATCAGCACCTATTTGGAGAGCAAGGCTCCATGTGTGGCTCATGATCCTTCTGTGGGAGCACTTGCTGTAATGGAAAATATCTTTCACTTTTAGTACGGCAAGCTGTAGCCCGACTCAATTTGTGCAGCCTGGACTGAGTTGCTCTGGGTTCTCATTCAATTAGGTGACTGATGAAGTCACTGAGCCTGCTGGAGCTCAGGTTTTTCCTCTAGTGAAGAGCCTCCAGTGTGCTGAGCCTCTGTCACCTACCAGGGAGTCGGAGGGCTGCCTGAGAAATTGATCATCCAGGGAGTTTTAGTAAAGCCGACTCTGCTTTTCCCTGTTACCCAAGAATCCTTTGTTGCTTTCCAGTACTTTCAAGCAGTAGCTGTTTGGCTTTTGCTCAGCCTCGCAGCCCTTCTGTCTCTGCATCATACATTCTGCAGGAGGAAAGAGGAATGGGAGGTTTCTGGGTCCACTAGAACTCCATGGCCCTGTGAGTTGGTTCTTTGTCCCTATCTTTGGTTAGAAGGTGGTTTTCCCCTCAGGTGCCTTCTTGTCCTAGTCAGTAGCTTTTAACCCCTCATGCAGTCAGCTGCTATCTACAGCCTCCTTCAGGAGGGCTGGCTAAAGTGCAGGGGGGAGGGGGGCTTATCTTAAGAACAGCACCATGGGTCAAAGCAGCCTTTGCAGTGCTTCTGGCAGAACTGTCTTGGATATACAGAGTAGGAGAGAAGGGAATTGGACAAGCTTTGGGAGATTTGTTCACTAACACTTGACCCTCTGAACATTAAGGAAGTCCCACTGAAGGAATCTTTTTTTTTTTAATTGGCCACACAAGAAGAAATGAGGTAGAGCAGTCTCAGCCTCCTGAGGTGCTCTTAAACAAGGCTCTCATTATTTCTGCATTGCTGTTCCAAGCGTGGCTGTTTGCAGAGTTCTTTGCCCTGCTTTGTATTAGGCTTCTTATTCTTGGTTGTCCCTGCAGTGCTGAGAGGTAGGCTGGCTGGGATTCATTTAGCCCTTCGTATCCCTACCAGACTTCTAAAGCTTCTGCTTCAAAAGAACTTGCATTCAACGGTACTTTTGGTTTGTCTCTGGTTACTTCTGCCTCCTGCAGCTCGTTGACTTTTTAATGTACCATAATTGGGAATTAATCTGCGAACAGCAGCATTTGGAAAAAATTAATTGTGTGTGGAATGTTTGATAATTATGTGCATATGTTAACCATTTCCTTGCTCTCTGTCATTTTAGGCATCGCTCACCGAGATCTGAAGCCAGAAAATATATTGTGTGAATCTTCAGAAAAGGTACTTAGAGCCCCACTTAGTATGTTACAGTATTTACGCCACTGTGGGGAAACCACCTTTGCTTTCAGCATAGGTTGTTGGCAGTCCTCTCAGACTCCAGTACCAACTTGAACTGATTATTATGAACATGTGAGAATGTTATACCTAATGTGTAGCGTTTCTATATTCCAAGTAAGGTTAATCCTTGTCCCCTCTTTGCTGTTTTCAGCAGTACAATTGGCTTAAGCCTGAGAGTTTGTAAAATATATGAGATCCACACAAAATGAATGTTTTTTCATCCAATGCACCTACCTTTAGAGCAGGTGATGGGAGTCATAAACAGCAACTTAATCTTATATGAAGCACTATAAATGATGTTTATGTTATGGTATATATGTCACTAGAAGTGATAATTGGGAAGCAGGTTCTTGAAAAGGGTTTCTGTTTCTATTTTTGGTGCCCGTTAAAAAGAAAACATTTATTCTTGGTGTCGAGCAAATGCCATCTATTTTAAACTTTCCCTTAACTCAATCTGCTAGTAGATGTGTTTGCCTTTCCATAAGCATGTATGAGTTTGACAGATTCTGTGTTTGTTAGGAAGGATTTAGGCCCTGGTGGTTCTGATGACCCACATGCATGGTTCTGTGTATGTATCTGTGTGCGGATGCTTGAACACATGTGTCTTGGTTTGAATTAAGGGATAGCTCATTCATAAGGAATGGTTGCAAGTGAATATGTGAGTCAACTTGGTACTTGTTGTGGGGAATAGTAATGTAATTAGATTTTGTGCCTTTCTGTCTGTGGCCCTGGCATTAAACTATATAATTTATCATTGCTATTATGATTATTAATAATTATTATAGTTAACATTTTTTAGTGCTTATAGTGTGCCAGCACTTATATTTATTTTATTTAGTATTTATAAACTCTCATGAGATAGATACTATTATTATCTTCATTTTATGAATGAAGAAACTGAAATTTAGATTAAGAAACTTGTCCAAAATCACTCAGCTGAAAAGTAGTAGAATACGGATTAAAACTCAGAACTCCGTGGGTGCTCTGAACTACTGTGTTATATTGCCTCTGGTTTACAGTGTACTTTCATGCTCTTTGTTTCACTTGATCTTCATGGCATGGATTTGTTGCCCTTTTGTTATAGTTGAAAAACTAAAATTAATAGAGACTGCATGTCAAAAGACATTATCAAGAAAATTAAAAAAGGGTAAAGGGGGAATAAATGGTGTCAGAAGGAGACTTGACTTTGGGTGGTGAACACATAATACAACATACAGATGACGTATAGAATTGTACACTTGAAACTTTTATAATTTTATTAACCAATGTCACCCCAATAAGTTCAATAAAAATCTAAAAAAATAAAAATAAAAAGATAACCCACATGATGAGAGAAAAAATTGCAAATCGTATAACTGATAAGGTTTTAATGTCCAAAATATATAAAGAACTTCTAACATCAAAAAGGCAATCCAATTAAAAAATGGGCAAAGAACTTGAATAGACATTTCTCCAAAGAAGATATAGAAGTGGCCAATAAGCACATGAAAAGATGCTCAGCATCCATAGTCATTAGGGAAATGCAGTGATATACCACATCACACTTACCAAGATGGTTATAATTTAAAAAATGGAAAATAAGTGTTGATGAGGATGTGGAGAAATTGGAACACTTGTATATTGCTAGTGGGAATGTAAAATGGTGCGGCCTCTGTGGAAAACAGTTTGGCAGTTCCTCAAAAGCTGAACATACCATAACTCTCAGCAATTCTACACCTATGTATATATCCCCAAAAGTTAAAAACAGAGACTTGGACTTCAACACCAAGGTTCATTACAGCATTATTCACAATAGCCAAAAGCTTGAAGCAACCCGAATGTCTATCAGAAGCTGAATGGACTAACAAAATGTGGCTATATACATACAATGGAATATTGCACAGAGAATGAAGTTCTGATACATGCTACTACATGGATTAACCTTGCAAATATTATAAGTGAAATAAGCGAGACATAAAAGGACAAATATTGTATGATTGCACTTATATGAAATATCTGGGATAGATAAATTCATGGAGACGGAAAGTAGATTAGATGTTACTGGGGTTAGGGAGAGAGGCAAGTGGAGAGTTATTGCTTAGTGGGTATAGAGTTTCTGTTTGGGATGACGGAAAAGTTTTGAAAACAGATCCTGGTAATTGTTGTACAGCTGTATGTGTAATTAATTAGCCACTGAATTATACACTTAAAAATGGTTTAAATGGCATATTTTGTTATATATTTTTTTATCACAATAAAAAAGAGAGGCTAAGTGGAAAAAAAGAAAAGAAAAAATGTAAGAGAAAGAAAGTGGAGAGAGGGAAAAAAGGAGAGAAGGAGGAGAGAAGGAAAGAAGGAGCTATTGGGATTTGTCCAGGCTCCCCCCACAGGTAAATCTGAGCTGAGACTCACGGAACCAGCATTTTTGACTCACTGTACTGCTTCTACCACACAGGCCATTCTCATGCGTGCACACAAACCGCCCTTCTGCTTGGCTCCAGAGATGACTCATCCTGTCTTTGGTCTCAGGTGCAGCCTCCAATTCTGGTGGGCTTAGCTGCTATGTTGATGCCACCTGGAGTGGCCAGCCATCCCAGTTTGCTCCGCCTGGAGGGTTTTCTGAAACGCAGGACTTAGAATGCTTAAACCAACAAAGTCCCAAGCAAGCAAAGTCAAGTTGGTCACCCTAAGCCACCTGAGGTGGTCAAGGGTTTTTTTACTCATAATTCCTTTCAATAGTCTACAAGGAGTGTCCCAGGAATACGTACTAACTTCTCTAACTTCTGTGTTGCACAGATACCTTTGTCGGCAAGAGTTCCAAAGGTTTGCTACTTGTCTTGTACTAAATTCACAGTAGCCTGAACTATGTAGTGCACACATTTTCTCTTAGTCAGGAAATAAGTAAAGAGCATAGAGCAGAAGACAGCTTGGAATAAATCCTCAGGTGACTCCTAATTAACTTAAGGAGAGTAAACATGACAGGTAAGGCTGGGCTTCGGTCTGGCAGCCACGTAACAGTGCACCCACATAGTCACCTTGGTCTCCTAGTGCCCTTTGGTTCCTTATATTTGTAACCTTCACTCTCTGCTTTCCTTTTCAGGTGTCTCCAGTGAAAATCTGTGACTTTGACTTGGGCAGTGGGGTGAAATTGAATAACTCCTGCACCCCCATAACTACACCAGAGCTGACCACTCCGGTATGTATGGCTGGGCACCCTATGCCACCTCCTTCTGAGCTTCTATACATTTGGAGTGCCCCTGACCCAAAGCTCTGGAGTCCAGAACAGAGGGCTAAGGAAGGAAAAGCGAGCATATCTACATCTCTTCCTGCTGCCGGAGTTGTCATTTGACTCACTGCTTTGTACTGTTACTGTCCTCCCTGCCCCAGTGCTTAGTTGCTAATAAAACTGACATTAGAGCTTTTAGCTTGGGGTGGGTCCTCTGCCAATGATGAGACAAATTATATCTATAAGAACAGACTAAGCCCTGGATCCTGACCCAGGTAAAGACAGACACCATTCCTGGGCCAGCCCTGTGGCATATGAGCACCTTATAGCTCTGAGAGCCCTATTCCCACTGCTGAAGTGGCGCATCACCTTGTGATGGAAGATGGGGAGTGTGGCCTCTCTGTGATGAGAACTGAGGTCCCAGGCTCTCTGCACATAGGCTCACTTGGCTAAGTTGTCTTATTGCTTCTCTCACTTCACACTTCATACCCAGATGGTGCTGTTGGGAGCTATTGCTTCCTAAGACATCTCTGTACATATTTGTTAGACTGTAATTATGATTCTTTTGAGATTTGCTTGCTTTATAAGTGAATTTTCCTAATAACCTTTTTTAAAGACATGTATTTGACTATGCCCATGTCTTATTCTAAGCAACATTATTAGAAATGTTTATTAGTTTTTCCAACACTGAGCTACCTTGTTCTCAAAGTCATTAACTCTAATTGCCAATAACAAAGACAATGTGCTTTCTCCACTTACCATCTTTCCAACAAATTAGTTGTGTGTGTTGGAGGTGGGGGCGGGGTATTTCTTGGTGAACCTGAAATAATGAAGAGTGGAACAAAGTGAATTACATCTTTTTATCAGCAGTTTTCTATGCAAGGGTGGGAGGAAGGAATCCTGGATACTGGGTTGCCACTGATGTGCTTAAACAAATCCCTGTCCTACCCTAGTGCTTGATTTTCCCATCTATGAATGGGAGAAGTGGGGAAATTGTATTTGTTCTAAGAATTCTCCTAGCTTTGATTGTCTCCTAATTCTAAGTCCTATACTTCCTTGCTCTAAGCTAGCAGGGAAGCTTGGCAGGACTTCACTTTAAGAAGCCCTTGCTTTATGGAATTGATCTCCACAGATCTCCCTCAGAGCCATGCTTCTGATACATTGAAGTACCTGCACATTAAGTGACTATATACAGAGAGACTGTATGCAGGGAGAGATTCCTGGAGCTTCTTGACCAAGGGTCTCTGCCTACTGGAGAAGGACCCAAAAAGATAAGAAGGTGTCCTGGAACTGGTCATGTGGGTCACGTGGAATGATAGGACTCAGTTTTCCAATGTTTAGTTGGCCCAGCTTTTCTAAGTGCCTTGGTGGCATCAGGTGAGCTCTCTGACAGCTTCTTCCTCTGCAACTCTGTTCTCTTGCTCAAGTCCTATTACATTCTATTCTTTGCCATCCCCTCTCCCTGTGACTAAGCCTCTCTCTTCTCTGTCACTTCCTCCTCAGTGTGGCTCTGCAGAGTACATGGCCCCAGAGGTGGTGGAGGTCTTCATAGATGAGGCCACATTTTACGACAAGCGCTGCGACCTATGGAGCCTGGGCGTGGTCCTCTACATTATGCTGAGTGGCTACCCCCCCTTTGTGGGTCACTGTGGGGCTGACTGTGGCTGGGACCGGGGAGAGGTCTGCAGGGTGTGCCAGGTGAGTGCAGTCCCAGGATCCACTGCAGAAGGCTGGCTAGGGGTCAGCATGCTTGTGGGATGCCCAGCAGGACTGGGTTTGGGGATTGTTCCTGATCTGGGAAGGATGTGCCCCTTCCCTCTTGTGTCCAAGGGTAGCCCAAGATAAAATAGAGATGATAGGGCACTTAGCCCAGCCAGGTAGAGAAGGTCATACCCAAACTCAGTCTGAAAGGGTGAGTCTGGCCTCAGAGGAAGGGGAGCAAGAAACACAAGTAGAAGGACAGCAAAGCAAAGACAAGAGGTTCAAATGAGTAGAGGGAGGAAGAGTAGAAGTGTAAGGCTGATGGTGGTGGGAGATGAGACCTGACAGGTTGCCAGGGGCCCATTCCTGAAGGGCCCTGAGTAAAGGGCCAAGGAATCCGGGCTTTGTTCTCTGATATTTCCCATGTATTGCCCGCCCAGCCTGCTTAGTAGCATAGCCATTGTGCCTGCCAAGGTCATTCTGTTTCATTTGATGGTTTAGGGGAGAGTGTGGGGAGTCTGGCATATCCCAGCCATGAGCTGTGGCTTCAACTGAGGTCATTTGGACTGGAGGTGACCAGATCAATAACAGGCCCATCCGGCCCATCCCTGGCCAGTGTCACATCAAGAGGAATCTTCTTTACCTAGAACAAGCTGTTTGAGAGCATCCAAGAAGGCAAGTATGAGTTTCCTGACAAGGACTGGGCACACATCTCCAGTGGGGCCAAAGACCTCATTTCCAAGCTCCTGGTTCGAGATGCGAAGCAGAGACTGAGCGCTGCCCAAGTTCTGCAGCACCCGTGGGTGCAGGGGGTGAGTGACCCAGGGAGGGGTGGTGGTCCACCTCCTCAGGCCTGCAGCATGGTCACGAGGAAGCTCTCACATTCAGGTGGCTGACCTCAGCTGGAGGGAGATTATATGGCAGTTTCAATTCCTGTTTCGGTTCATTCATAGGGTGAACTGACTCCTAACCCAGCCCCAGACTGCGTCCCATGCTGGTCACAGACTTGGCTCTAACCTTGATCACAGACCAAGGCCCTAGCTGACCCATGCTTCTCTGGAACAGAGGCCTCTGGGGGATTCGGTACATGCATCCCGCTACTCAGAGAGGCATACAGCCCAGGAAGCAGCCTGATGTCATCAGGCCTGCGGTTCCATCCCCTTGTACAAAATGATCAGTAGCTGAGAGCACCCAGAAGCAAGGCCTTGCCACCCTGCTTGCTGTGTGGCTGCATTAGGGGCACATACATTCTCCTTGTGTTCCTGAGGTCTCGGTGCAGCTTGCCCAAAAGGCAAATAGTGGCATTTTCACCAAACTAAGGATCCAAGTCTTCACTAGAGAATATTCTTAGCCATCCTCATTTGTTAGTCATGGGGCCTGACTTCTTCTCCTCCAAGGGGTCTGCCAGACCTCCTGGGACTCACTGTGTCTCAGTTCAGTGGCCCCAGCAGCCCCATGTTACAGATGGGGACCCAATCCAAGTGTCTCGCAGTGACTAATTCCCAGCCACTCAAGAATTGCTGTCTTTACTGAGTACCCGCCATGTCAGACACTAGTAACAGTGGGATGAGTTAGACCCAGTCCCTGTCTTCATGTTTTAATGGGGAGAGGGAAACAAGGGAATGAATGACAGGATAGTGTGGTAGATGTTTGGGGGACCAGTGGACAATGACCCACCTCTGCTTAGAATAGGCAGGAGTTGGGAGGTGGCAGGAAAGGGGAATGTCTCACAGGGGAAGGAACCCTAGAACTGAGTCTTAGAGGATGATTAGGATATTGCCAGGCCAAGAGGGTTCTCCATGCAGAGGTAGCTGGGTTGAGGGCTGTTCCTTGCTTGCTCTCTCCTTGGAAGATCTGATCCTGCAGGCAAGCCTGGCCAAGTCCCTGTGCTGGGCCAGAGCCTGTAGTAACCTACCCACTCTGTGCTGGCATGGGTGGGGGCAGCTCTTGAAGGAGGGAGCAACACTTACCTACATATCTATCCTTCCCATTCTAGCAAGCTCCAGAAAGGGGACTCCCCACGCCGCAAGTCCTCCAGAGGTAAATGCTCCCACCACACCCAACACCCTTCCTTCTTTGGCTTTGACTTTCTCTCAAGTTCTCAGCCACATTGGGATGGAGGTAGGGGATGGGGAGCCCATCTCTAGGCTCAGGTACCCTTCCCCTGAAGTGGCTCCCTGGCCTGCCTTCTCCCCACTTCTCTTCCTCTCTTTACACCCCTGCAGTAAATGTCTCCCTCTTTTCTCTTCTTCCACCTGGATGGCTTCTCCAGCCCTCCAGCACCTTCAAGGCCCCTCCCTGTGCTGTGTGCAGGAGAAAAATCTGTTTTGCTTAAACACTTGAATCCTAACTGGAAATCACCATTTGCATCCCCAAACAGACCTTATCTGTGGATTATAACACCAAGGTTTCCTTCTGCTGCTGTGGTTTGGTGAAAGCAGGAATCAAGGGCAGTGTAAGGCAGCAAGATGGATTATGATAGAAATATTACTAAACAAACGATAATAATGATGGCCACTGCATAGTAAATACCACATGCCAGATATGGTACGAAGGGCTGTACATAGATTATATCCATAATCTTCATGATAAACTTCAAAGAGTGGTGCTCATTCCTATTACCCCGTTTTATAGTTTGGAAAACTAAAGCATGGAAAGATGAAGTTAACTTATTCAAGACCGCACAGTAGCCTTGGGAGTTCAGCTTTGAACCCAGATCTGTTTGTCTTTAGTGCCTTTTTCTTTTTTTTAAATCTTCGCCTAAGGAGTGAAGATATTTTTCTGTTGATTTTAGAGAGAGTAGAAGGGAGGAGGGAGGGGAGAGAAAGAAACATCGACGTGACAGAGACACATCGATTGGTTGCTTCCCACATGCGCCCCAACATGAGGCAGGAATTGAATCAGCAGCCCAGGTACATGCCCTTGACATGCGCACAGGCCAACACTCTAACCACTGAGCTGTGCCAGCCGGGGCTTACTTCAGTGCCTTTTAACACTCAATCACATTCTTCATGAGCACTGCCATATTCCCGAAGGGCTAGGGCTAAAGCATTGTGGGAACCCCTCCAGAAACCAACCTCATGGTCATTTCTAGGAGTTACACAGAGAAGTCTTATACCTTTATAATCTCAATTCCCTTGAGCCAGAATGCTACTGCCCAGCTTGGGTTCCTACCTGATTCTCTAGAGCGATATCCAGATGCCCTGATGCTCCAAATCTCAGATCCACCTTAGCATATTTACTCAGCAAATACTGCCTGTTTGTGCTAGCCCTGTGCTGGCTTCTGGGGACACAGACACAAAGGGACAGCCCCTGCCCTTGGAGCTCCCAGCCCTGACCTGGGAGAAGGACATACATGGGTGGGTTTCATATGTTGAGGAGGCCCTTCCTCTGTTGAGCTCTGTGCAGAGCCTTGGGGACTTAGAGGAGGGTGCTCTGAATGAAAGGGGCATCTGTCTCTCAAGTCCAAGGACAGTAATTGAGGTTCAAAGCCTTTCTAGCCTCAGCGAAGTCAGATTCCAAACCCACACAAGAACTACTTCAGAGAGAGCAGCCCCGTGCTGGCTCAGAAAAAGGTGGTGGAAGTATGGAACTGCAGCAGTTGGTGGGGGCGTCAAGGAACTGGCCTGGCTGAAGCCATTGAGTCCTCCTGCCTCCCTCTTTTCTCTGCCTTCCCTTCTGTCCCTATAGAAATAGCAGCACAATGGACCTGACACTCTTCGCGGCCGAGGCCATTGCCCTTAACCGCCAGTTGTCTCAGCACGAGGAGAATGAACTGGCAGAGGAGTCAAAGGCACTGGCCAAGGGCTTCTGCTCCATGAAGCTTTCCCCTCCCTCCAAGTCACGCCTGGCCCGGCGGAGGGCCCTCACCCAGGGAGGCCGCAGTGGAGATGAAGGACCCGGCCCACACCCACAGCTCTCTGACCGACCCCAGTCACACCTTTCAGGCCCTGGAAACCTGTGAGGCTAAAGTCTGCAGATCCGGCAGAGGGACCTGCTGTGTGGCCACAGCCGGACTTTCTCATCCACAGAGGCCCTGAGGTTCCCACCAACCCCCCATTTCCTCAGAGACCTCAAGGAAAAAGCTTTTTCCAAAGGGGTCGTCTTTGAAAAGGAAAGCAATCACTTGTCACTTTGCATAATCGCCTGAGGCAGGGACATCTCTGCTGGGCTCCTGCCCACCTGCTCACCCGCCTGCAAATCCTGGATCCAGCCTGCTCTCCTGAATGGGTGGCAGTGGTGGCTGGTGCTGCAGCCTTCAGGGAGCCAGCCTTGAGAAGTGTCAGTTGACAGAGGCTCTTCCCTCCCTGCACTGTCACCCCCTCCTCTGTTGGTCCTTCCACCTTCCTCTGTCCTCTGGATGTCCTCCCCCTGGGCTGAGCAAAGCCATCCCCTCAATTCAGGGAAGGGCAGAGACTTCGCATTCCGGAAGCCAGATCAGTCTTCCAGTCTGTAGCACAGAGAAGCACATAATCTTTCTTTGCCGTGACTGAAGTGTGTCCCTCATTTATCATCGTCTTCCTTGTCTGGGATTGCTGCTAAAGTCTGCAGTATTTTGTTTTTTAAAATGTTTGTTTTTTTAACCATGCTCTTCCAGCAAAGATGGGAGTTTAAACGCCCACTGCAAGCCCATGGACTTGCCAGAGCGTGCAGAGGCTCGCTCTTCTTTTCCTGGATGTCCATGCATTTGTAAGGTTTTAATCCGCTGTTTCCTATTATTCTAACTGGTTTTAAACTATCACACCACGATGAGTGACTTAGAGACCCAGTCTGCTGCTGCATCTTAGGCCTGGTATGGAAGGCAGCACAGGTCCCAGCAGTTACAAGGAGCTCTGTGCCTGATGTAGAGCCAGATCCAAGGCAGCCCAGCTGCCCTGGTCTGAGCGAGGTGGCACTTGCTACCTGCCAAGAGCATGAAGGCAAACCTGGCATCAGATAAGCTGAGCTGCTGAGTTACCTAAAGAAAATCAGTATGTGTATCTTAGATATTTATACAACACAACGATGCTATTACACATTGTGCTTGTTTTAATAAAACTTTTAAATTGTAGCTATGGCCTTCCTGGTAGTCCTTTCTTCACCTGCAAACCTGAAGAGGAGACAGGACCTCTAAATATAGCACCTCATTGGATTCATAAAACAAGGTGAAGGAGACATGATTGCTTTTCTTTTTCAGGTGAGGAAATGAAATTCATCAAACATTTGTCAGTTTCCTAGTCTGTGCCAGAGATGAGTAAGAAACAGCCTCTGCCTTTAAAGTGGTGGTGTCAGCAGCCATCACAGCGGACTTCAAAGCATGCTTTAAGCTGATGCGCCCTGTACCCAGCCCTGCCCGCCACCTGAGTGGGAACAAAGTTCCCCTCCATCTAAAGCAGCATTGAGCCCTTGAGGATCCATTGTGTGCCCGGGACTACGCTTGTCCTGCCAGAGTTGGCAACAAAGAAAAACGGTGCCTCCCATCCACAGCCTGTATGTTCACCACGCAGGGGCTTTCATGTGCGTGTCCCGTGTAATCTCAGAGCCAGGCTGGAGACAGCTAAGGCAGGAAGGGACTTTAAAAGTTCCCAAGGAGGTGGCAAGAGAGAGGCCTGAGTGTCAGGACAGTGGACTGGGTTCCCTGGGAGCTCTTCACCCAGGGAGAGCAGAGCTGGGAGCTGGGATTAGGGGTTCTTTACTCAGGGGGTGCGTGATGGGCCCAGCTACCAGCTGTCCTGCACTGTGAATGATGATAACATACTTCTGTTCTTTGCTTTGCAGGACCCTCACTACCCTCACATCGGTCTTCATCGGGCCAGAGGGGAATGGGCTAGAAAATCAGGCCTGCATGATCTGAGCCTTTTGGCCCAAAGTCTCCCAGTCCCCTGGGGACTCAGAACCAGGGTATGAGTTTTGTCTCTGGACTCCACTCCCAGCCTTGTCAGTCCTTCAGTTTGGCCCAGCAGGGATGTGACTTCCAGGGGCTACCTGGATCAATCACCTCCATGCCTCAGCCCCTCACTGCCCTACACACAACTCCAGGCGATCTCTCCTGCCCCTGTGTGCTCAGGCTGTGCCCTCTACCACACCACCTCCCCACCCCAGGCCCCCAGACCCCCAGATCCCCAGCAAGGCCTCTCCCATCCTCCACTCTGCTTAAATGCTACTGCGCCTGCTCTGGTTTTGCTAACATTAGTGTGCACTTAGTAACAGGTTCTGTCTGAGAAGCTGACAGGCATTATCTCATTTAATTCTCACAGCAGCCCTATGCAGTAAAGTACTATTATTTTACCCTATTTAACATGAAAACCCAAGCAGAGAAAGTAAAAAATAGCTTGCCTGGGGCTGTACAGCTAAGAAGGTAGAACTGGAATTCTTTCCAGAGAGACTTGGGACCCAGAGCTGTGCTGCCCAGGTTCAAATCCCAGTTCTGCCACTTACCAGCTTTGGGCCTTGGGCAAGTTAATCATTGAGGGTCTTGGTTTCTGTAACCAAAAATTGGGCAGGCTGTTGTGAAAGTGAAAAATTAATAAATATAGTGTTTAGGGTAATTTCAGGCACACACACAGTAAGTACTCAATAATTGTTAGCTATGCTAGTTTTGGTTATTTTTATTATTACCACCTGGGGCAAGGTGATTCAACTGGGTCCTGGTGATGGAGATGAGCTTTCCCCCTTTCCTTGGCTTGTGTGGGTGGAGATAGTTCTGGACTTTCCAGATGGGCCTGGCCTCTAGCCCTTTATGGGATCCTCCAGCTGACAGGCTGCTCTGCCCCTTTAGGGTGGGGTCCCTATCCCCAAGGGGCAGCAGTAGGGGCCAGGGCCCTGGGTTCTAGTCCTTCCTCTGCCACTGTTCACTAGGCAACCTTGGAAGTGCCTTACCCTTTCTGAGGACCAGGCCATGTACCTGGCTCTGCTGGGCAGAGGCAGATATGGCAGACACACTGAGGGAGGCTCTGGAACTGGTTCCCAGAGCAGGTTCCTAGGCTCCAGCATTCCCACTTAGATTATACCTTAGGAGAGTTGATCCCACACAATGGAGTGTCTCAGGCCTCAGCCCCAGCCCATCCTGGTTCAAGCAGAACCCGAGGACTCCTGTATCTGGGGCCCGGGCACAGGGATCAAGTCTTTCTCCCTCCAAGTATCTACCTCCCGACTGACTGCCCCCTCACCAAACTTAGCTCCAAGAACAACAGTGCCTGGGTCCTGTGCCAACTGCTCCAGCTACTTAGGTCTGGAGGGGATGTAGGAGCAAGGTTCCCCCATGGTTGGCACTCTTGTTGCCATGGTAGCAGTTGCCTTGGAAGCTGCTTTCTGACTTCAGCTTCCAAACAGCCCGGGAAAGCTGCCTGTTCCCCAGGGGATCAGTGAATTAATCATGCTCTTTTCCAGGGTCCTCACCCCTCAAGGAAAATAAACAGAACTAAACCAAGCCGAGGCCTTTCGCCCACTCTTCCTCCCCACCCCCACTCCACCTTTGGATCTGGGAAGGAAAGCTCAGAGGCAGGCACCCGCCAGCCCTGGCCTCACCAGAGACAGAGATTCTGTGATGGAACTCAGCAGAGACCCATGGCCTAGCCACACCCTGAGCCTGGGGCCTGGGGGACCCAGGCTTCAGGGAGGAGGGCTCTGATGCTCATGGGGTGGGGAGCAGTGAGTGGTCCAGCTCCAGTGCCTTGAGCTTCCATCTCGTTCACCTGTTATAGTAAGCACATCACCCACGGACAGATGTTATTTCAGAGATGATACAGCCTATGTGGAGGTAAGAACTGGCAAGCCTTCCTCTCTACATGTGTAATCAGCAGAGGGGCAGGCGTCATACTGGTTCTGAGTAGCCCGTAATGATGCTCTCCTGTGATGAGGGAAAAGATGCAGCCCTGGACTGATTCCTCTGAATGCGGGGTTGCCAGTTCCTCCCACCACAAATAAGGTAATTTAGAATTCGGGGCCAGAGATATGCTGGAGTACTTCCCAGCCAAGCAGGGACTCTGGACACTGAGGTCCTATCAGGGACTCTGGGACAATCCTTTCTCTCCCACATCTCAGTTTCCTCATCTGTTCTAGAAAGGAACTGACATGATTCTGTGATACTGTTTGGTTCTTTTTTTGAAGCTCAAGACATTTTATCTTATTGAAGAAAGAAGGTTCTGCTTCCGAATTCTAAACATGCCTCTTTCTACAGCCTAATAGGTATGCTGAGAAAAAGGATGTTTTTTCTATACAAAATGCTGACACTTGAGGAATGGGCTTTGAGTTGGGGACAGAAGTGTAACAAAACTCAATGAAAAACACCTAAGAACTGTGGGGAAAGGCCACTCTCTTCAAAGTAGCCAGCATCTTTTGGTCGGTCTGGGTCTCAGAGCATCACTACAGAGAAACATCAATTTGTTGCTCCACTTATTTATGCATTCATTGGTTGATTCTTGTATGTGCCCTGACTGGGGATCAAACCTCAGGTGTATTGAGATGATGCCCTAACCAACTGTGCTACCCAGCCAGGGCTCTCTGTGATTTTGTAACTGATAGTGGCTTAATGTGTGTCTCCTCCATATTTCCTCTTCTGATCTGTGCCCTGAAGGATTTGCAATGTCAAAGAAAAACTAATTTGGAATTCAGTGTCCAGTTTTCAGAGGTCAGAATGTTCTGGAATCTAAAACTTACAATGCACAAGCATCCCTCCTCCAGCCTCTACCACCTCCATTCCCATTCACAAGATGAGCAAAGTGAAGCTTAGGCAAAGGCATGGCTGGTCCCAGTCCCACAGTTCCAGGTGGGAGACATGGCCTCAGAGCCTCTGTCTTGCTGATGGTGTGGAAGCACCACCCTCACTCTTACACCATGGAGGAGCCGGCACAGGCCCTGCCCGGGGGGTGGGGGTGGGGAATTATGCAAACACACTGTGGAAACAGAGGGGGGGGCTCTGTGGAAGATGTTCAGATTCCCAAAGCTCCACATCTCAGGAACATGTTTTCATGGACAATTATTTTGATGGCTCCTTCTAAAACCAGTCAGTGGGGATCAATTACATGTAACAGAGACATGGCTGTCATTTGATGCCTAATTAGAGGAATAATCAGACCTCATCCTGGTGAGAGGCACGGGGGATGTTGGCAGCAGCAGCTGTGCCTGGGGAATGTCCACCTCCAGGGGCTTTCTCTTATGAGCCAGGATCATGGCCCAGGGAGCCCGTGGGTGCTCTACAGTCGCCCCTCCTCTCTACACACCTTTGAGGTCACACCTGTCCCTGCCCAGGCCTCTCTCTAGTGTCTGGGTAGTGTCTTCCCTCAGCCAAAGCTCAGTCAGGTGACCCCGGCCTTCCTAGGCTCCTCCATCCCCACCAAGGAAAGCCACTTGTTAGAGACAGAGGTCCCATGGTGCCCGAGGCCCTCCTCTTTGCCCGCTTGAGGTGACTGTGGGTCTGAGCTTTCCCAGAGTTCTGCCTGTGTCCAGAAGCCTAACCCAGGTCCCCCCAGCCACAGCATTCTGTGGAGCTCACTCTCTGCAGCTGCCCTCAAGGGGCTCACAGTCTTTGAATGGGGCACAGAGAGAATGAGGACTGATGGGCACAGTGAGAGGCAGCCCACCCACTCAGGCACCTCAGAAACAGCTTCAGAGTGGGGCTGGCCGAGCAGGGTCCTGCAGGATGAGGCGGTATTAACCACGCCACAGGGGACAGGCAGACACTCAGCAGAAGGGCAGCAAAGGCTAAGGGGAGGGGCAAGGGCAGGGGCAGCCTTGGAGGCAGAGACCGTGGTCCCAGCTGTGCCAGTCTGCAGGTGTGGTGGGAAGGAAGGGGGGATCCAAAGAGAAATCAGTGGTGGCTGCGATGGGACCCTGGAGACTATGCCCAGGTGTCTAGGTGCAGGGCTAAGGCCAGGGCCATATCTGGGACCAGGGAGTCCCTAATCCATAGAGGGCCAAAGAATGCAATTAGTGATGAGAGCTAGAACTGGGGGGGGGTGACAGGGCTGGGCTGGCTGGGCTGGGTGAATGCTGCCCGGCCTCAAGGTGGTGGATCCTGCGAGTGAGTCAGACAGTCTGGGCAGAGGAGCTCAAGCCAAAGGTCAGGAGGCGCCAGCCATGTTCCAGGCTCCGGACCCAGGCCACAGACACCAGCCCCCACCTAGGCTGATTCCCATTCCAGTTCCTCTCCCAGCCCTAGCCCATAAATGTTTCTCTTCCCTCTTGGTCCCTACCGCCGCTCTTCCCTATCAGCTCCCAGCCGGGGTTCCCAGGAGGCTAGAAGGGCTCACCCTCTCAGCCCACTGAAAACTAAAGGGGAGTGGGTACCAAGCCTAATTAAGGAGAAGGGGGGGGATTCAAACTAGGACCCCTCAGCCCTGCCTGGGAGCCAGAGGTTGTGGGATGGAATGGGGTAAAGGAGGGACAGGCGTACAGAGTGGATTTGAAGGGACACCTCTCCTTCTCCTGTCCTAGTTGCTGTTCCTGCCTCTTGAACCTCCTACAGGTCTCCTTCCGTCACTCTCTCTGAGTCCCCGAGCAGAGGCTCAGGTATACCTCCAAGCCAAGGGTACAGCAGAGTGCGCCCTGAACCTGTGGCCAGGGAGTCTCCTCACATCCCTGGCTCCTGAACCCCACCTGAAGCCAGTAGCTCATCCTTCCCTGCTGGGGACCAGCAGTGGAACCTTGGCTGACTGCCCCAGTGGGCCTCTGGGACCCAGGCAGCAGCTCACATTGCAACCTCATGAATAACTCAGCACCTCCCCGCTGCCTACATCTCAGAGGAGCTGGGCCTCTGGACCAACCCTTTGCCCCACCCACCTCCACCCCACTGCTTTAAACTTTAATAGGCCAAGGCTCAGTGGCAGCTGAGCAGGCTCCAGGGAGCTGGGGCAGGATGTCCAGGGCAGGGGAGCTAGGGCTGAGCTCTCCCAAGAGGAGGCTGGCAGTGGAGGACTCCATGGGGCAGGCCCAGCTCTCCAGAACTCTGGCAGCCACCACTGCATGTGGCCAGGCAGGAGTCCCAAAAGTGGTCCCCAGCTTCAGGGGTCTTTAGGGGAGGAACAGTAAGCTGGGATGACCTGGAAGAGATCTTAGGTAAAGGTTGGGGGGGGCACTAAGGAGAGCTGTGGGATAGGGTTGCAGATATATCTAAGGGTTACCAGTCCAGAATCTTACTGCCCAGAAACTCCACCCTCAAGGCAGAGCTCCAACAAGGGACAACCAAGAGGATCAGGACCTCCAGGGCTTTTCTGGGGAGAGGCCCCACTGGCTGGGCACGGTGCCCTGGGTAGGCCTGCATGGACATCCCCATCAACAGCAGAGACTTCCGCTGCCTGCAGCTGGCGTGTGTGGGCCTTGGCCTGGTGGCCGGCAGCATCATCATCGGCGTCTCCGTGTCCAAAGCTGCAGCTGCCCTGGGTGGTATCTTTATTGGCGCCGCTGGTCTGGGTGAGCTGGGCTCGGAGGGAGCAGGGGCATGGTCAGGTGAACAGGAAATGGAGGGAAGGGGTGGGACAACAGGAACTGGTTGGAGAGGGTAGAAGCTAGAGGTGTGAGCAAGGCAGCTTTGGGGATACAGGGAAGGAGAAGAAGGTTGGGGTGAGGTTTTCTCCATGGACTTCCAGAGCGAGGAGACGGGAGAGGGAGCTGTGCCACATTCCTCTCTGGCTACTCCCCCCTGGCTGTCCGGTCTCAGGCCTGGGCTCTTAGGTTTGCGGTGGGATTCATAAGCCTGTAGGGGTGGGTGGATGGGAGCAGGTAAAAGGGGACAGAGTTCCCAGTGGACCCTCCTTGAGCCAAGACAGGATGCAGCTCAGACAAAGGGTTTCCTTTTTCCCTCAGTATGTCTCAGCGGCATATCTGTCCATCTGCCTATCTGGGCGAGTCCCACTGATGTTCCCAGTGATGCTGAGTACCATCCCTCACCCCACTCCACAACCCTGGGCCAAAAACAGACCGAGAAGCCCTGGGCTTGTGGGCTCTGGGCATCTGCACCTGTAAACTCCCGCCAAGGGCGACCGACACTTGGTCTGGGGATAGAGTGGGAATGGGCAGGGCAGGACCCACTCTTCTGCTACCCCCTCCCCAGGTCTGGGTGGAAAGGAGCATGCTGAGGAGCCCCCCAGGGGAGGACTAAAACTCCCTAGAGGAGGGTGGGGCAGGGGAGAGTTGGTGGTGGTAGTGGCAGCTGGGCCCTTTTTCAGCCCGCTGGGTGGAGCCAGGAGCCTGGGCCCACACAGCCTGTAGCCCTTTCCCCAGGCAGGCACTGCTCTCTGCCCCTCCTGGGGCTGGGTGTTAGAGAGCTACCCCATGCACATACTCACAGGCTCACATTTACACACCCACAGTCCCAACCTGCACTCGTGCTCTTCCATGCATGCCTTATATCACCCTCATAAACCACCCCCAGGCTCACAGCCCACCCACAGCTTTATGCAGCTCACATCCACCAGGTCCCTCCCCGTCACAGAACCCCTCTGTGTCTCTCATCCCAGGGCTCCTCATCTTGGCCTACCCCTTCCTGAAGGCTCGGTTCAATCTGGACCATATCCTGCCTAATATAGGTGAGTCCCCTCCCCGCCCCCAGCAGTCTGCCAAAGACTGTGAGACCTTTTGTGTGTAAGTCTGTGGCCCACTGTGCAGGGGAGCAGAGCCCACATGTGTGGCTGCTCCTGGCTGTGTGTATTGGAGTTGTTCTGTGTGTGTGTGTGTGTGTGTGTATGTTTGTGGGGAGGGGGGGTGCAGGCGTTGCTATGACTACAATACAGCAGACTCCAGCCTGCTGCAAAAGTGCCTGAAACAGCTTAGAGCACCTAAAACTCCCATCTCCCCTGTTAGATTTTCCATCTCCCCCAAACCTCCAAGATCTCCAGATCACACCACTTCATCCCTGAGCCACCATAAAGACCTATCTCCCTCAAGACCTTAGGACCCTTGTATAGCTCCCACTTCATCTCACCTCCCCACATACATACTCCCATCTCCATCAATCCTATGGAGCTCTACCCATCCCCAGTTCTCCCCAGAACCCCCATCTCCTTAAAAACCTGCCATCTTCTCCTTCAAAGGCCCATTTCCCCTTCCCTCCCCTCATACACACACACCAGCCCAGATCGTGTGGAAGACCTAAAGCCTAAAGTAATGCAATGGTGGAGTGAAGACAGCAGCAGGAATGGAGGTTAGACAACAGGAAGGACTTCCCTTTCCAAAACTGGCCTTGATTTGAGAATGGCTTAGTGACCAGGGGGCTTGGGGTGGTCTCATCCTACAGGGAGCCTGAGAATCCACCCCCATCCAGCACCAGACCAGGGGGAGGGAAGATCCAGCACCAATGGCAATAAAGAGGGTAAGTTCCACAAATTCCAAAATCCATCTTCCACCTTTCCTGTCTGGCTGAGCAGCTCTGTGGGACCCACAGGAAATCTTGAGGGACATGCAAAAGGGGTCTGCCCAGTCCCAGAGAGCCCACAGAGCTGGGTAGTTCTTCCATGTGTTTAGTCAAAACCTTCTTGCTCCAGGCTGAGCTGAGCCCTGCTTGTTTGTCCTCAGGGTCTCTCTGTCCTGCCCAGCATGGACACCGGGACAGAAGGCACCTTGCTGCCCCTTCCCCTCACTTCCATCCAATGCCCCAGTTTATTTTCTCACTCTCCTCTCACACTGTGGAATCCAACTCTCAGAGCTGGTACCTGAAACTGGGAATCCTCCTCCTGCTCCATCCCCACACACTGGAAAATTCCAGGGCAGGAGTTTCTCAAAGACGGCCCCAGCGCACAGTGCCTGCCTCCAGCGGTAGGATGCCCAATCTCAGCAAAAGGTCCCATGCCAGACACTGTTCCAAGCACTTCACATATATTAATTTGTTCCATTCTCAGAACCATATGAGGAAGGTACTATAATTAGCCCCACATTATATACGGGCACAGGGAAATTAAGTGACACAGCTGGGAAGTAGTGGGGCCAGAACGGAGACCAGGCAGCCAGCCCCAGTCCTGCCTCTAACCCCACACCCGTCTGCTGTCTTCTTGAAGGGCCATTCTGACCACCCATGCCTCTGTGAACTGGGCTGAAACTGCCTCCTGGGACTCCCCTCTCTCCCTATTCTATCCCACTCTGCTCCACGGTCCCTCTGGGTTGCTCTGACCCAGAGATCTGCCTACTCAGGCAGCCCCATCCTGGTCTCTCCCCCAGGAGTCCGCAGCAGCCTGGCCACCGTGAGCAGAACCTTGGAGAAGCTGAAGCCAGGGGGTCGGGGGACTGGGGAGGCCTGAGGCCAGGGCTGAGGGGCTGCCCCCTGCCCTGCCCTCCCTTCCCGCCCACCACCCTGATTTCAAAGCCCTCCTGGGTCCAAACCAGAGATGAACCAGGCCCTGGAGATGCCAGATCTGCATTCACTTGGTCAAGGCTCTTGGCAACGAAATACGTGGAGTAGGGGTAGAGGATTCTGAAGTAAGATGTCACTGGAAGCTCCACAGGGATCCTTCTTTTAGGCTCTTGACCCGATTTTCTCTCTGGACTGCAGCCAAGCTTTTTGATCTACTGACTGGTTTCTGTGGAGTTTAGGGCCCAGGGATACCCCAGTCCCTTGCTTCAGCCTGGCCACAGAAGTGAACCACAGGCCTACACAAACCACAGATGGGGGCCTAGCTGAGCCCCTCAGTCCCCAAGGACTGGCTCTGGGCCTCTAAAGCTCCCTGGCTTGATAGAAGGGCTGGATCCGATTCCTTTGGAGACATCAAAACTCTGGGCAACTCCTCGGGGATCTTAGCAGCAGTGAACCAGACGGGGGTGGGGAGGGGGGCATGAGGGGGAATCCTAGACAAAGTGGTCACTGCCATGATAGGAGGCTTCCAAGAGGAGGTGGCTCCTGAGCTGAGCCCTCCCCTGAGACTCTGGGTATTAGACTCCGGACAAAACCTCGAGCCTTCCTTCTTCTCCCCAGCCCTCTCACTGCTCCTGAGCAATCTAAACACATTGCAGACTTCAAGCCTTGGCTTATGTTCTCCTGGAGGACCCCCTGCTCCTATCTTTCAAAACCCTCAGCTTTAAAGGCCTGGTTCCAAGAATCCCCTTAACCATAGTACCCTCCCGGTCCTCTTCCACCAGCTGTGTCTCCCTCTCTCAACAGTCTCCAGGCAGGTTGAAGTCTTTTTCATAAAACTATTATTAATCCTATTTAAACCTAGTGTATGCTGCCCTCTTCCGGTTACCATCAGGGCACATGGTAGATGCTCAATAAATGTTAATGGCTTAAATTTAATGGAAAAAAACATGCTCCAGGCTTTCTCTAGAGATCCACCTCAAGGCCCCATGTGCCCACAGGGTTTGTGGTGAGGAGGACCTGGCCCAGGGGTGTGTGGCTATGCAGAAAACATTATTCCTCCCTCCACACCATTCTTCATACACCTGCACCTTCATGATCCTACAGAGACATCTGCCCCTTGTGGCTTCTGTCCTGATATGGTGAGCATAAGACAAAGCTAAGAAGTCTCATTCTTGAAGGATCAGTGTAGATGGCACCTCCTCTTAGAAGCCTCCCCTGATTTGTCTGTGTTCCCACCACCTGAAGGCTCCCTCGATCACGGCCCACATCACTCTGAATGGCCCTTATTTCCCCCTCTTCAGAGTAGGGAGCAGAGGGCTGGGCATCCAGAAGATACCCAGTGGATGTTGGAAAACCCAACCAAAAATGGGAGAGACCATCTCACTGTACAGATGGGAAAGCTGAGACCCTGCAGGAAAAGAATCCATCAAGTCCCACAGTGGGAGATTGTGGAGCCATGCCAGCACCCAAGTCTCCTCTCTCCCCCACCGAAGGCTCGACCCTCTGCTATTCTCTACGCGAGCTACAGGGACCGACTCCCTGACCATAGAGGGATAGAGATCCATGAAGGGGCTCAATTTCACATGCACTGGCAGGTTGTGGAGCTTGGTTCTTCCAGCGTGAGGAGAATCAACTCCCCTCCCTGCCTCCTCCTCCCCTCCTCCTTCCTACCTGTTCCCGCCCCTTCTTTCCTTCCCCCTCTCCCCACAATCTCATCATCACCAACAGTAACTCAGGCCTGGTGGTTCCTCCTTGATCAATAAGAAAACTTTCCTCTTGTCTATCTTCAATCCTCACCTGCAGCACTCCCCAAAAGTGCCCAAGGTGGCAGGAGTGGGAGTGGGAGTGGAGCAAGTGGAGCCTGAGCTGTTGGGAGGGCGGTCTCACACCCTGGCCCACCATCAACCCTTCCCAGCCATGACCTCCCCAAGACAGGGCTATGGTATCCCCAAAGGCTGACAGGGCAAGGCACAGAGCAGTGTTGGGGATCAGAGTGGAATAAATTAAGGAATGAACACATAGAAAGGCAAGAGCTATGTCCACTGGAGAACTGGGTGGGGTTCAAAGGACCCTTGAAACTGGGTGGGAGTTCTCAAGGCCTGCCTCTGGTGCCCCTCTCCCCCAGCCACCATGGGCTCCTTGAGACCCCTTCCCCCGCAGTGCAGGTGAATGTTGAGAAACTCCTTCCCCAAGTGTATCTCCACTCTGGGTACCCCCAGACCCTCTACCTGGTCACAGGAGCGGTCCATGCGGAGGCATGCCTTCTCCCCATCCTTGCTTTGGAGGAAGGTGCGGTTGGGTCAAGGGGGGAGGGGTGGGGTGGTGGGTGGTATTCAGGGGAAGCACCCTCTCACCTCTGAGCAGCTCCTGAACCCTCCAATATTTAAGCCCAGAGCTCTGCCAGTGCTCTGTTCAATAAATGAAATCGGTTCTGTCCAATAACCCCGTTCTGACCTCAGCGTGGCTGTGCCCTGCAGGGCCCCGGCTGGGCTGCGCTTGGCGGGGCAGCCTCTGCACATCACATCCCAGCTGGGCCCCCCAGGGGGACCGACCGGGCTGCGGATGGGGTCTGGGGACGAGACTCACAGCCTGGTTCTGCCCCCAGGGGCTGGGCAAGAGGCTGTGGGGCCCTGTGCCTCAGTTTCCTCATCTGCAGGACCTCTGTCAGGACGGAGGGAGCCGCGGGGTCCCCGTCGGGAGGGTTTGGGACTGGATGGGGGAAGAGCGAGGGGGGAGGTTGGAGCCGCTCTTCCAGCTGAACTCGGGGGTCTCTAACAGGCCAGGCGGGTGGGCCTTGAGCCCGGCACTCCCTCCCCCCTCCAACCCCCAGGGGCCCTTCCCCGTCCCACCGGGGCCCGAGCTCCCCGCGGGCTGTGGCCGCGCCCCCTTCTAGGGGCAGGATCGGCGGAGGGCGGCCGAGCAGAGGCACGGTCCCTGGGAAAATCTCCCAGCTCCCCAGCTCCATCCCCCCACCCCCCGGGAAGGTGGGGGATCCGCTCCAGACTAGACGGAGTCGGTGCGACCAGCCCCCCTCGCTGTAGCGCGAGCGGCGGTGTGTCCCCCCCGGGCTCGAAAG